TATATTGGCTCTGTAATAGGAGGGATGCAAATATGGACGGAGATCAAGTCATTTCCGAGTAGCCAACCATTGTTGAAAGCGAAGCCCAGTGAAGTGGTCACTCATACACCACACCAGGTACGAAATTTAGTATTCAGCCTGAAATCAAAAGTTTAAGTATTGCGCAGGTACTGCTGGCAAATATCGTGTTTGTGAATGTCGATTGGATGATTGAGATTGGCAAAACGCGACCAGAATGACACGAAAACGATGATCAATGACAGGACACGAGATAATGAACATTGCATCGCGCAATGCTCAGAAATTTCGAATAGTGTAGAGCCCAAATTAAACAATATGTTGAGAATTTGTCGAACTCTGCGAAGATGCATGTGTAGAGATAAGGAATTAAGCAGATAGAAGGCTTTCTTAGGTAATGCATGATGATTATATAATACGACGTGCAACACATGCGCCGCTGCCGTGTGAGGCTTGACGTGATAATTAAAACAAACGAAAGGCAAACCCTCATATCCTGCATTCCATTCTTTTGCTGAGCTGATAAGGGGCGCATTGAAAATAGATCTCTCTTGCCGTGAAGAATCCGATTTACTTATTGGCCATTGAGTTGCTTATCTATCTCAGTCAACGACTCCGCCACTCTTCTTAATTCGGGTTCCGCATCTCGAGATGAAGGGTTAAGTTAACTCACGGACGCACTCCTCTTTTGTCGATCAAATTGTTGATTCATGTTATTTGTTTGCTAACTGACTCTTGCGATAGGAAGTTTTGCCTCACCTGTCAAGCTTGAGTGATAGCTAATACTGTCAAATCATTTGCAGATGAAGTTGTAATCACAAGCCTCACCAAACGAATGTCGAATTATCTGCAGACTCTGTTCAAGATCTATGATTTAATTCCCGCATTTGACATGTCAAAATATATGCAGGTCATAGAGTTATGGAAAAGTGGAGATCCGGTATTCGATCGACAGGAGATGTAATGATATGCATCAACATCTAGAACAATGTCTGAGAGGTAGCCAACTCGATGATCATTGCGCATCATGGACCAGATTCGGATCCCACTGACGGGAATAACAAAACAGTGAAAGCCCGAGGAAGACGAACTAGACGATATACATAACAGCATTCAGAATCGATTGTATACTCTCAGCAATTCCTATACTACACTGTTCGTCGAAGATAGACGAGACTGAGGCAACGTCAGGACGTCAATTATCTTCTCTACGCTTTCTGTGCTATTCTTAATACTGGAAACTTTCACTCGGGGCGTTTATGACTGTGGAAAGGGATGCGAAGCTTTTACCAAGATGAACCGCGAGCTGGGTGAATGCCTTCGAAGATTCGAGCTATTTGCGGGATCGTGTGAGAATCGGAACATCCCTCGAATTTATGAATATGGATGGCGCGAGGTTTTTGATTCTGGGATTGACTATCTTCCCAATGAGTATCACACAATCATTGGAGCTATTGGAGAAATACGTACCGGAGACTTACCGATGGCTATTGAAGAAGGGTTTGCCTCTTGATGGAGGAGTAATTCTGGAATAAACATTGGATGTGAAATGCCCCAAACAGATGGAAAATTTGACACATATAGCTCGAAATATACTCTAAGGCATCGCAATTCAGCTTATTCTACACAGCAACAAGGGTCTTGTCCCCTCAATCCCAACGAGCCATGGAGTCAAGAAATTGACCCAACACGTTTGCAACTTCATCTTTGTATCTTACTATTCCGTCCTACATTTCTCGTGAGTCAAATGTTTCTTACTACAGGAGAGTTTACAAGTACATCATTCAAATACCAAAGATCTCTTTTGCAAGCGCCTTCTTTCGTCCCACTCAACCATTCCCTCGACTCGCCTAAGCACAGCCGAATCTCTCTCCTTCACTCAAACTCCACCCCAAATTCACTCGAACACGCTTCGCACACTCATCGCATTCTTATCTTCCTTCATCCTTATCTTCATCCACTCATACGCAATGGACTCAGCACAAGAAAGTTTTGTTGCATATCTCAATATTATAGATCTCGGAATATCCTCAAATTTCATCTCACACCCAAAATAAAAGCTTCAATTTTTCTTCCCAAATTCCTAATCATGAGGAGACCAACTTTGAAATCCTTGAGCCGTACAAATACAAAGTTCGATGGGATCACTACCGCTCTCGTCTGATCTCACGTACCCCATATTCACTTGCTATCGGTATCTGCTATCTCCTAATCACTGTATCAAAAAAAATTGTTGCACATCTACAAAATATAGATCTCACAATACTTGAGATTTTGAGGCTCTACAGAAAAATTAAAAGCTTCATCTTTCGTCTTCTAAATATCACTTGATGAGGAGAATAACTTTGGAGTTCGTTGAAGCCGTCGATATAGATTGCTTGACTTCATTTCCATCTATATTCCTCAAGGCTCATAACTCACTCGACTCCTCCACCAGAACTTATTTCGCCTGACGTCAGTTCCTCACCGCCCAACCTCGTCTTGATTCATCCTCGAGAAGTTTTGTTGCATATCTACAAAAGTCAGATCTCGCGATAGTTTCCAAAAAGAGGCGTTCCCATCAAAACGAAAAGCTTCAATTCTATTTCCCCATTGCCTTGAATTCTCTATCGATGAGGAGAACAAGTTTGAGCTTCCTTCCATAGAGATTGGGTTTTGATATCTTGTCGCCCTCACACCAAAATTCACTTCATATATATCCAAGCTTTAATTCTCTGCCAACCAATACAAACCATGCGCTCATTCCCTTCAAAAAGTTTTGTTGCATATCTACAAAAGTCAGATCTCACGATAACCACCAAAAGAAGGCTTCCCACCAAAACGAAAAGCTTCAATCCTGTTTGTCTGTTATCTCTAAATCTCTATTCATGAGGAGAACAACTTTGAGCTTCCTTGAGATATTGGGATCTGGTATCAAGACGCTCTCCTATACCAAACTTCACTAACACATACATCTATATATCCAACATTCACTTCTCTGCCGACCAATACAAAGTCATGCGCTCATCCTCTTTGAAAAGTTTTGTTGCATATCTATAAAAGTAAGATCTCACGATACTTGCCCCAATCCAGCTTTCTACCAAAACGAAAAGCTTCAATTCCTATCCTCATGGATCTAGGTTCAATAGCAGATCAATTTTCAAATTCACACCTCTCAATTATCAAACATTTAAAAGTTGGAAGTCACCTCGTCGTCCCCCACCACTTATATTCTCCAGCAGCAAGCTTCGCCTCTCAGTCTCATTATTCACTTGGCCTCCAGCCAATAGATTCTCGTTCATCCTTACAAAAAGAAGTTTTGTTGCATATCTACAAAATTTAGATCTCACGATACTTCCCCAAAGTCAGCCTTTTTACCAGAATGAAAAGCTTCATTTTTTGAGATTTTGGTCGATCAACGAGGTTGTATTGCTTTCTGTGAAGAGGGCCAGATTGAGTTGATATTGTTGTTTATCTTTTGAGATTTTGTAGAGGTAGGTAAGCAGGTACGGTTAGTAGTATTCACTTCAGACTTCACTAAATTTTTCCCTGCACTTTATTCCGATCGATAGTTACCCCTCGTCCCGGAAAAGATGTTTTGTTGCATGTCAGAGTTTCACTTTTGGAGGAAGAAACTGGCGATACTTTCTCATTCCATCAAAACATTATGTACAGAACTGCTTCCTGGAAAAGCTTCATATTTGAAATTATGAAGAGGATAAAGTTTCTATTCAGCAAGAGGATAGAATAGCTCAAACGAATCGCTGTCGTCACTCTCATCCACCTTCTCGCGAGGACAGAGACGTCGGAGCCGATTCCAGGATAGGTTACTACTATCAGCCCATCGAGCTCTTTAGATTCCCGCAAGGAATGTATTGTTGCACGTCTAGATAGTTCGTCTTTGAATTTCCAGCGAAAGAGAAATCCTCCAAGTTTATACAAGGTGTATCATGAGCTCATGTCTAAGATTATTAGAGGCAGAAGATGAGGAAATAAATGGTAGCGAGAAGAGGAGCTAGAATATTTTGCATGGATAGAAACTCATCGCAGGGAAAAACGCATCACGGCCGTACATCAAAGGAAGGATATGAGTTGAACAAAATTTCTACTTTATCAAAGATAGCAGTTTGACAGTAATCTACGTCATCTTATCCCAAGTTTCCGCTCCAAACTCCTTGCTTTAGCCGCTATCATAGAAGAAAAATCTAAGGACTGTGCGTCTCACTCTGGATGTTGACGGATATTTGAAGAAGAATTTATGATGATCCAGGTCTGTCATGCGATGAGAGTTTGCCCTTCCCTTATTTCTCTTTCAAAAAGATCGAACGCGTTCGATAACGGATATCTCTATGTGTGTCTGATGCAACGCGATACCAAATGAACAATGTGCTGGATCAAGTGATGAGCATAATTGAGAAAGCTATTCGAGTATTTGCATAACTTGATGGTTCGCCAGGAATGTTGCAATAAAGATGTTGGTAGTCGTGCAAGGCTCAGTAATGATAATTCTCGGCGGCCTTTGATATTTGGTATCTTATTGCCCCCTCCTGAGACCATAGAAAGACTTCCGACTTTGGAGACGTCACAAGCCTCTATCCTGAGCTTGTAGCCGATGTATGTCAAAATGAAGGTGATTAGTGTGGTGTCAGGAAATGCGGTAAGCCGGACTGGCAGAGTGGATAGAAATTTATAAAAGTTTTGAGTATTCAGTACGGATTCAAAAATTCAAAACATTTGAATATTCAAGATAGAATCAGAATCCAGGACTCCTAATTACTGAGCTACACTTCGGGCTATTGAAAACACTTATCGATATTTCTGTCTTTGGATGACCAGACAGGAGAAGATTCGAGCAGGCAGTAGCGTTTCGATTTCGTCGGCATGAAACCCACACGTAGAAGTTGCTTCTGATTTACTTCGCTCAAAACCATGTCGTACCTGAACCATGGAAGGCTTAGACATATTAAAATACTGCCAATCTCCTAATTCTCAATCTCTAGTAGCTAGTAGTACGATCCCGAATATCCATCCGTTGCTCCATAATCTGGATTTTGACGATCTGGCGTTCCAGGCGAGAACGAAGTATCCGGCGGATTGGTCAAATTTGTCATTTCATTATTCCCAAACCCTTGGTGAAACGCAGGAGACCCATTGATATCAAATGGCTGAGAACTTGTGGTCTGCGTTGGAAGTGGAATGAAATATGATTGATCGATATTCTGTAAATCGACCATTCCTGAATTTGTACTCAAATTGGAAGAATGGTTCCAGCTTTCTGTCTCTATATGCGGACCATTCATATAATCGTAGAATGGAATTTGGTCTGGTGTATTTGTCGGAACTTGTGGTACAGGTCGGAAATCCAATTCATTTGGGTCCATTTCTTGCTCGCCGTATGATCCAATTACAGAGGCAGGTATTGCAGTGCTCAAAGCTTCCTGGTAAGGATGATTGTACCTGAATGGATCCGAGTTCGTGATATCGAACGTGGGCATATAGCTCATATTCTCTTCTCGTGAATTTTGTTCAGATACTTGATGATGTGCTTCGTTCAATACTGTGCTCGAGTAGTTTTGTGAGGAAGGAATGGAAGAAAGTCGACCCGCCAAGGTTTCTTGATCTGCATAGAAAGACGCAGGGGTGTCATCGGGTACAGATAACCTATTTGGGGACGGTGGCACCATACTATGCTTTCTTTGGAAAGTGACATGTTAGTAGCTTTCATATAAGAGTGATGGAGAACTTACCCTTCAAAGCTATAGATACATTCCACTTCAGGAAATCTCCTCAAACAATGCCTACACGGTTGTTCCCTACTACATTTTTGCTTTCTCTTTTGACACTGTATACACGCAGTCGGCGTCCTCGACCTTGCTGTTCGCTTTGATGCTTCATCTAAGTTCTGCATGTCTTCGGTCAGGCTTTCCTGTTACATGACTCTGGCTTAATCTTCATTTCCTCGTGGGAATTCGACTTTTTTTATGTCTTACGAAAGGTACAATCGGCTGATAGGGCTGAGAGTACATTCAGTACATGGTGATGTACAGTTTTGGTGATTTGACGAACTCGGTTAGAGCTGGCGCAAAGAATGCATGGTGATGCTTGTAAGCTAAGTGAGGTGTCGTCGAAATGGGGTGAAGGATTTGGAGCTTCGTTGAATGGACGAATGAGCATAACATGGCGTAGATTTTGCTTTAGCAATACAGTGGTGAGCCTACGGAAAAGATTCAAATTCCTTTTGGTGTGTGTAAAAAGTTTCAGCATCTTGGCAGACATTAAAAGATATTTTTATCTTCAAACCTCATACTTGGCATGAAAAGTAAGCAATTGAACAAATGTCTCAGCCGTACTTATTGGTCCAAATCTGCCAAAGATTCCGTTCTGCATCATTTGGAGAGCAAGGCATCCATACAAATCAATTCTCCGCCTGAAAATGGGTAACGTATCATACTCTAACAGCGGATAATACCCAGATTCGAACATATGACACGCTGTATCACAACATATTTCTGTGAATCACAAGAAAACAAATGATAGAATAACCAATTATGAGTGAAGCATTTCTTCTTTGCATTTTCTTCAATGCTTCTGTATCATAAAGGCGCAAGGCACTTGCCGTTCCAGCCAATTTCAGCCATACAATCATCAAGACTCACCGCACTTCTGAATAACAATCTCTCCAGTCTATCAACTGGGAATTTATTGCCAAAAGAATCAGAGAAGGTCGAGGCTTATAAACTGTGTGGAGGTTATTGGCCAAGTCGTCGTCTCCTCGATGAGTCTACTGATAACCCACAAGCATGAAGAATCAGCAACGGCCAGCCATTCATCAAGTGAGGTACAGAGTGAGATTTTGACTGCTCCAGCTGTAATGTTTTCTGATACGCTGGAGGCTACGAAAGTAAAACATAACATGAGGGAACGAAGGGACCCGGAATATTGATGATATAAGATCAGGCATCAGTAAATCGAAAATAGAATCTAATTTCCCTGATCGGTGAGTTCAATAGAATTGAAAGAGAATCCTCGTCGGCGATAGCTTCAAGCTCTCAGACACAATGTGGGGTATAAGCTCTGTTTTGAACATGGTTTAATTTATCCAATGACTGCATCAACATGAAGCTGGCCAGGAGCGGCACCGTATTATTCGTATCTGGTAGCTGAAGGTATGTGAATCAACTATGTGCACAACTTTTTGACACCCCAAAGACCGGAGAGTGGCTCAATTGTAAGTATTGGCGAGGATAATTCGGACCCCAACACCTGCGACATTCTACAGCCTTGCTGGAACAAGTGATTGACTGGGGATTCGTATCAGGAATCAATTGCGCAAACATTTCCTATCTTGATGTAATGTAGACCTTTGATCGACAATGTTTGATACTATGGCCTGCTTACATCTCAAATTGGCGAACGCATTGAGCTGGAGAGTAGGAATATTGAAAGGAATATTGGCTAGGAAGGTATCTATATTTAGACGCGCAATTGAGGACGTATATAATTTCAACATATTAAGTGGTATGGTAATGATGATGAATTCTGAGTCTTCAATTCTCGATGCTTGAAATTTGATGGGTGGATGAACAAGGTAGAGAGGCATTGTCTACTGATGAAAATGTTATGGGGGGAAGCCTGGAGATGCCGAGCATCAAACCCACACGCGATTGGGCGCTTTGGGCGCGTTTAGTGTAGTTTGAAACCCGCACGCTTCAAAGCTATTTGCTCTTCTCATCACCACCCTACAAGCCCTTGAATAGTTTCAATTGAACTTCCTCTTGTCCGAAGTCGTGTTTTCTGCTTTCTCTGAGATTCTCTACTCCTTCACGACAAACTCATGTCAAACGCCCAAAGACGACCGAACCCACTCCCTCAGTCCCCGCCGCAGTCCACAGCTCTTCCACGCCAGAAACCTCTCAAAGATCCCACCACTGCGTGATCCGTGGCTTTCCAGCTTTATCTAAATGCGCCGAGTGGTAGCAACTCTAGAACTGTTCTTCTGCACACCAAAGACAGGTTACCTTTGTCACATGAACTCCTTAAACCTCGCGAATTCTTATTCTGGGTATAACCAAATCTAGAGCGCGCAGAAACATTTTACCCCTAAAGAAATTACTGATTATTTTCCGAATTATATTATTATTACCACTATCCGTGGAGTGGTTCAAAAACAAGATGTTTAGGAATCGTGTTTTGAAGTGAACGGAGAACGCATTACTTGTTTGCCTCAGGTCACAGCCAACAAGGTTATGTAAGGTCAACGTTGTCAATCAGGTGACTGCACGAGAGCATTCAAAGAAGACGCCGAGCGGACATTAACGAATCATCGTCATGACCCTGGCTCAAAACGTAATGTAATACGGTGTGAAGCTTAAGCTTTGGACTATCTTTCTTATAAATGTCCGCAGAGACCGAGAAGGTCATGTTCTGAATTTTAACATTACTTCATCCGATTGAAATACGGATTAAATGGACCTTTTGCTCAATATTGGAGGTTCGAAAGTTCGAAGACGGACAAAATAGAAGTACGAAATTACCGATTTGTCGTGAGCAGGATGATGTGGGGTGGAGGTGGATTTGTAAACTATTATGAATTAGTGGTAGAACAACAATTGTGTCGCTAGAAGGATCTGTATGAGGTGATGTGCAAGGTCAATTATAGTGGATGATGAATTTGCATTTGGCAGGTAGGCAACGGGATGGAAGGTTAGGGAGAGGAGGGAGTGGAGATGACGCGGGTATATATATGCGTTTGGGTCCTCGCAGAAAGTTGGAGCATTCGAACATTTACTTTTCCCTCATTTTCTTCGCGCTTTGTAGCTATCGGGAAGCTTTTGATGGGCATCTATCAAAAATACTCCCCTATTTCGTTTCACAGTTGTAAGTCTCAGCTATTTGAAGTTGCTCGAACCGCTGTCCAAGGCCTGAAGATATATACATCTATAGAAAACCATACTAATTGTGACATACAGATACTATTAAAAAAGCTCAGCTCGAAGTTCAGCTACACAATATCCCTCATCAAGATTTCGCCTGTAATCATCGATAAAAGCAAAGACACGATGCCTTCAACACTCGTTTTAGGGGCTTCGGCAGTTCTTCTTCTTGCATATGTTATCCGAGCTATACTCTTTCGACCCAGAAATTTGGACTTTCCAATCGTGGGTAATTCCAATGATGCCGATTTCAGAGCTGCATTGCTTGAAGGAACTGCCAAAGTAAGAGCCTTTCCACTTAACCAAATCCTCCCTCATTTACCCTAACATCCAAACCTACACCAAACAGTATCCTACGACCCCCTACATCCTACCCAGCAGCCCCCCAACAGTTGTCCTCCCCTTGAATATGCATGATGAATTACGCAATCTCCCCGAAAATAAGGCTTCTTTCCAAAAAGAACTATCCCGAATTTTCTATGGCGAGCAGACTGGTCTTGGCAAAGACACTCTCCCGATCATCAAAGTCGTTAAGACAGATTTGAATCGTCACGTAGCATCTACTATTCAGCCTCTTCAAGATGAATCACGCTTTGCATTAGATAAAGAATTCGGGATGTGTGAAAATTGGACTCAACTTATTGTGTACGAAAAAATTCTCAAGATGATTGCACTTCTTAGCGGAAGAGTTTTTGTAGGAAGACCGCTGAGTCGAACTGAAGAGTGGATTAACATTAGTTCTCATTTTACGGAGGATGTAGTGCTAGCAAGAGAGAGCGTGGCTAAATATCCAGCATGGCTCAGATCTTTCGCGCTTCCATTCTTACCAGAGATCAGGAAGGTAAAGCATCATAAAGTCGTAGGGGCAGAGTTATTGAGACCAATCATCGAGGGATGCATTCAAAGGTTCAGGGAGGGAAAAGGCGGGGATGAAGGTGATGAATTCGATGATGATCAGGGCACGTTTGTGAGTTGGGTTATGAAATGGTCGGATGAAAAGAAGAAGGAGGATCCGTTTGCTTTGGCGCAACATCAGCTCATCTTGTCTTTTGCTGCTATGCATACAACCGCTATGGCCGTTACACACGCATTATTCGATTTGGCAGCTCATCCACAATTCATCGGACCTCTTCGTGAGGAAATCGATCAGGTTCTGGCGGATGATGGATGGGAAGACGACGGCAGCGGGATCAAAAATCTGAAGAAACAATCATTACCTAAATTGAAGAAATTGGATAGCCTCTTGAAGGAAAGTCAGAGGCTCAGTCCTCTGGATTTGGGTGAGTTTTGCCCCCCCCCCAAATACATCCCATTGTATAGCAAGACCTGGTGGATTTTCTTTAGTCATCTCCTACCATTCTGATATACTAATGAAACTCAGTCTTCAACATCCGTTCAACAACCTCGCCAATTCGTCTCTCCACCGGTGAGACCATTCCTACTGGAACTCGTATAACATTTGATGCCCACACAATTAATATGTCCGGCCCGAATATATCTTCTCTCCCTCATGACCCTTCCAGTATTCCAGCACTAGATTCTCCCGAAATTTTTTCGCCGTTCAGATGGTCGACGCTGCGTGAAGCACCGGGGAATGAATCGAAATATCAGTATGTGACGACGAGCAAGGAGAGCGTAAATTTCGGACATGGGGTATGTTCTTTGATTTTACAATCACGCTTTGCAAATCTCTGTTAACACAAGCTCCTTATCCCGCTACCCATACATCTCTTCATTTCTCCCATTATTTTTTCGCATGCCCCTTCCAAATCCCAGCCTTTCCTCTCCTCTTCCACCCTTCTTCCCTCCTGTCTACCTTTCTTTCCTTTATATCTTCCCTATCTCTCTCCCGCTTTTCCAAATGAAAAGAAAAATAACACTCGATAATGCCCCACCCACAGAACCACGCATGCCCCGGTCGATTCTTCGCAGCCACAGAGATTAAAGTCCTAATGGTAGAAATATTGAAAGGTTGGGATTTCAGATTGGTCGGTGATGAAGAGGGGAAGGGGGAGAGAGACCGGGGAATCATATCTTTAATGTGACGATTAGTCCGAACACGGCTACTGAGCTTGAGTTTAAGAGGAGGTCTGTTTAACTTATGTTAAGGGTGGAGGTGAGGGGTGGGAACGGGGATGTGTATGTGGGGGATGGGAAAGATGAAGATAGCTTTAGATGGAGAGGATCAAAGAGGGGAGGCGAAAAGATATGAAGGAGGAGATAAGGGGTTGAGCAGTGGGAGGATTGGGGTAGATTGCAAAGGGGGAAGGAAGGACGAATTATGGAGCGGAGTGGAGTGGAGTGGAGTGGATCCAGGTGGGGTTGGGTGGAAGTTTATTTAGATGTTTAGAAATCAGATTGGTATGGCAAGATTGGGAAATAGAGGGAACTTGAAAGGAAGGGGCGGAAAGGCAACATCATATTTCTAATCAAAGGCTTTTTTGCCCTTCAGAAGTCTATGATGGCTTACGCAGGTGGACGGGCTATGATCTTCGATGTATGAACTGCATTGGAAAATAAGAAGGTATTTTGTAGTCCCGTTCGCCATTTAGAACCTTCATTGAAAGACATTGTATGGCATCTGGATAGTTAGAAACCACTCATGAATTTAGCTATTGAAGTATTCATAAATAACCCTGTGTATATCCTCATGTAGAGACTTGCTACATTATCTCCGATTTATGGTATTCAATGAGAAATCCACCGAAGAAATTCACCCCATTAATTGACCCCGCGTATTTGAATTATATCTCAAGATTGTCTCGAATGTGCTTTCTTACGCCGCAGTCTTGCGCCTTCAATTCACTCAAACCCAATACCAAACGAACCCTTGAGGTGTGAGCTATGTAGCTATATCAGACATCACGTCAGTACTCTATCCCGCATCCCACATCCCACTAGAATAAAATCCACTCACCCCTCCATTTAATCTAGAACTTATCAATGACCACCTCCAAGCTGCTCCAAAAAAACATCAAGCCGGGCTTCAACATCCATTTCTAGACTATCCGCTGTGTGTTCTCTCTTGACTCTGAGACCGTCGTAGAGAAATCTCACACTTCGAATATCCCCAATCTCCTTATGTTGACAATACGCCTCCATAATCTTCAACATAGGCTTGGCGCGCTTAATCTTAAATGTGATCTCATCACCTTGTTGATCTACGACCGTAACAGAGACCGTCTTTGGTTTGCCGGTATCCGCACCATTACCTCTGGCAGGCTCAGGTTTATGCTCGCGAGAGGCGGAGGTTGGAGTCTGCGGGTCGGGAGTTGGTGAGTGCATTTTATCTGGTTGTTTGCGGTTGTATTTGTTGATGTATGAATTGCGACCGAGAGAACTAGTAAATGTGGTGGATTAGAAATCGTGTTTTTATCGGAGAGGATTATCTATAAAAATCCCAACTATAAATATACGGCTATACTCACATAAACTTGACCGTTGCTTTGAAGATACGTCGAAGCCTGGTCGGTGGTGATTTATCGACCGTGGCAGTGTTGACAGATGGTACTGGATTTGGTGTTGCTATGATTAGGCAGCGAGGTACGAAAATTGGTTAAAGATCCTCGACGTACAGAGTCGAGATCAACGTTTCGTACTGTATTGTATCGACAAACTCACAAGGAGTCGAAATTCGCGAAACGCGTCGACCCGTGATATTCTTGCTCCTTCTGGTTGCGCGCATGATGCTGGACCAATCATCGATCATGATATGTGATCGAATTGATTGTAGAATTCCCATGTAATCGCGACACTTTTCTAGTGAATATTCGAACTTCAGAAATATATATTTGCGGAGTGATGCTTTAAATTGACATGACGGAGGTCAGAGCTTATTTAGTGCGCACAAGCTCACCGGGGAATGCGTTCCGGCCGGGAAGCCCCTTAGGGTGCGTTTAGTCAGGAACAGTAGTGCAATTCCCAACGTCACCAATCAATCCACAAGAGATATAGTAGGACGAAATTCTCCTGAATTTACAGTTTAAGGTCTATTTTGAGATGTAACAAATCATTCCGGTGATATATTGTATTGTTGTATTATCTTAAGTAGTCCATGCCGTTGGGTGTTCCCACCCGTTTCTTTTCTTTTCAAGAAGTCAAACGCCTGTGTTGAAACTTATCACCATAACTCCGAGCCTTCTCAATATATCATCCTGACGTTTCTTGACCAACGCTTTCTTTTCTCCTCTCCTTTCAATCTTCCGATATCCAAGTTTGTAAGCATGGATCTCTCTTCCAACTCTCTACTCACGATACTTCAAGATCTGTCGGGTTCCGAATCGATGTGGGAGGGGGGAACGAGGGAGAAATGAGGAGCCGAGGATCTTTACGACGTTGGGGGGTGTTTAGTCTTTCAAGGGATAGTATAGTTATATTCTTTGAAAGCTCAACATCATTCTCTTCACTTTCACCTCGACTCTAAGATGTCAGCAAAGAGCCGTAAGCGTTGGTAGTTGATACTTGTAGTCTCGGTTCACTCGACAGTCACACTCACAGATAATCCATGCCATAGTTATCATAACAGCACACATCGTTTTTCTGACAAGTTTCAATCAACCAAAATTTACAACCATGTCACATTCGAGGTCGGCCTGACTTCGAGAACAATACCTCAAGATTGTACCGATATCTTTACATGAAACCGATACGGAGGAATATCAACAAAGCTTAGCTCAGAAGGGTTTGATACTGTTCCAGAGAACAGGTCATTGTGCATAATATCGGTATGAATTGCAGTGTTGAAGGTTCTGCCTTGCATCAAGATCTGGTTCTGTGACGCTTTCGGAAAGTTCTGAGGAAAAAGGTTGCTATGTCTCAGTACTTCTCCTGGCACGCTCCTCGTGGAAGCTCCATGATATTCATGGATCTGACTTTGCAGTTAAACAAACAAACAGGCTACCAAGATCAGATATTCCTCCATTGTCGTCGTTTGTTGAACTGATTGGGGACAATCAAACAGCTCTCCATGTTTCGGTTTTCATGTCACTCTTCAAAATGAGAGTGAATATCAAAACAGTGTTGGCACTCTTGATGTCAAACAAGGCTATCCAGTAGGTACCCATAGTTTCTCATCAGATGTTCTCCTCGTAGGAAGAACTCGATTCCAGAGTTTCTCGTTAGTAAACTCGGTAGTTGTCATCAATCACAAATACTAGAAAGTGAGTAGAAGAGTAGATGTTAGCTTTGTGTAATGATGAACTGGATCACTGCGACGTAGACAGATTTGGGAGATTCCACCAGGAGTTTTACTTTATTTATCATATGGAAGTAATCCCCAGTAAGTAAAAGTGAGCTTTAGAGACGATTCAAGGGAAGGCTGGCGGTGAGAGCATGGGTAGGGCAGATATACTTTTATCAAATGGATATTAGCGTTGTTTCTCTACGCGACCTGGATAACTTCAATTTCTCTTGTTAACTTGACATAATAACAGCGGAAAAACCAGGTATCTGAGACCAATTAATTTGGTGTTCTCCGATCTTACTGTCAATCACAAAAGTGCCGTCTTTTCACCATTCTCACAAACCACTCATATCCGAGACCAATTCATTTTGTGTTCTTGGAATTTGGTTTCAAGCAGGAAGGAACCGCTTTCGCACCTTCTTGATATTTCATGAGAAACAACTGAGTTTTCACACACAATTCTTTTTTCCATAAGACCCCTCAACGCCTCGCATTTTTATCGAATTCACCTCCTCGATTTCTGTTGAAAGTCAGACAAGAAAGCAGCCTCGAACGAGAGAGGTATCAGTAACAATGTAAGCAATCATTTACCTTCATTTGCCTACAATTGAATACTTTCCCCTTCCAATAATGATTGGATCATTGTCCCTCAAATCAGTTCCATTTGTTTCATTTACTTCTGATCAATCGAGTGGAATTTTTTCCTATCGAAAGAAAAAGTATGGTTACTGCCCAACGATTCTCAAGCTTGAGCGAGTTGTGTTGCACTTGGATATCGGTTCTTTCTTATCATCAGGTTTAGCATGAATTCGACATTTACTAATAATCATAATGGTATAGGGCACACACCGGTCCATTAGCACCATGGAAGATCAAAGAACAGTCGAAGCGGAAAGATACTCATAGTCCTCGGGACAATGTATAAAAGCCAGAGGTTCCTACTGTCTCTATCTTTTCATCTCAATACATCCTGGGTTATAATGTCATGAACCGTAAACTTGTCTTGAATCAAAATGCCCCCTTATGAGACTAACTTTTCTCAGCGGATGAAATTCTAAAAACAGGCTCACTTATCACGGAGCGGGTATGCCCTCCTGGATTGAGCTACAAGTCGCGGAAACACTGGCATCACCAGAAGAAATTTTACCACAAGATAGCAGGAATGCAAGAAGAATGGCCCGGATTCTCGGACGATGAAGAAGAACCAGCCGAAGCTCCTAAAGATAGGTCAGAGCACGTCAAATTTATCGGATTCGCAGATGAGATTGACGATAGACCTATCCCATTTCCTCGAATCGAAAAACTTCGAACATCAAAAAATACTTTCAGTGAAGATGAGAATGTTGATGAGGTTACAGCACATCACAGACTTACAAATAATCGTGAAATTCCATCATCACATGTGGTTAAACCTGTTGTCCCCCTTCTTGGGAGAGATTTATCTCACAGTCGAAAGCTCCGTAAGAGATCATCACCTCCAACTGCTATTGGTAGAGTGTCGAGACATGCACCTTTAAAGACACGAGCCCGATCTCTCAGAACCTTACGCGTTATACCAAAGCATGCTCGTCTGAGACTACGCGTTCAGAGACAACAGGAACGATCCAACTCAATCTCTCACCATGCTGCGCCTCCAAATCTATCGCAGAGCCAAACCAGATGTCCCAGTGCCAAGAACCTTTCTTCAAAAAATGCTTCTACTCAAACTATCCTTCCCTACTCATCGACAGCGTCGATACTTCTAGAAGAAGCAGATCAAATATCTTCAGAAGGTAATATAGAAGTCTTACTCTGAATGTCTCATCATGGTATGGAACAATCAAATAGTCGCCTGGTCTCAAGGAATCTTTCAAAACAAGACAGAGGTCTTCATAATTCATCAAGCGTTGCACATGGCAACTCAATGCTTGCCACAGCATTCCCATCACCTACCATTGGCCCTTGTGCAATGCGTGCTGTTCCATCTTCAGGTATTGCTCCAGCGAAGCCAACGGCTTTCTTTCCAGCACTGGGCCAACACTCTCCTGCTGATGTCCTTGCTGTAACTTCCTCAACAAGAGCTTTGATCATTGATTCAAGTCTTTCTGTGGCAGCATCATCAAAAAATATTGATGGTGTCGCACTCGATGGCCATTTGAGATCGGAATTTGCAGCACAAGTTCAACTGTTCGATTCAATACCTGCTACAGCACTTCAAATTCCCGTTGATCGGCCTGCTGTTGATTCAAATGCGTACATGCAAGTGTCGCCTCGCCCTTTAGCAGATGTCACCATCAATGAAATTATCGACGCTGACAACACTCTGATGCTCACTATTCCTGGGTACGAACTTTGTCCGCGTAAAAAATTGTTGGAGCTCCAAGAAATTTGTCTACACCATCTAGATATAACATTTCTTGCCATTGTTTCGGGCGATTTAGAACTTTCTAATGATCCTGATCTTGAATTGGGAGGACTCGACCTTCTCGTTGAACATGGGATCCAACTTGATTAGGACACTTTACTTGCTTGATTCAAAGACCTTTCGACGTTACCGATGAGGAGTTGATTACCAAGCTGAATTTCCCGATGTAAAAAACAACGTTGAACACAAAATTCTCTCAGCCCAGTCATCTTTCACTCTGAGGTTTGAAAATATGACCGCTTAGGCTCGCAAATCTACGTCATTACTCGATGTCTCCACTCAGGAGAGACAATCAAATGATCTCTCAGGATTGATTTGAGAGCAAACTTGAGATACTGTTTTTTGCTCCGAAACCTGATGCATATCTGTAGGGAAGGAGAGGGTGGGGTAGCTGCAAGTTGTTGGCTGTGAAATCGCTGGACTGCAAGGTTACTCGGGATATGGGAATCCGGCATTGTGTGGAAGACCTCGCTTTATACAGTGATGATAGCTATCAACTAGAAGACCTAATGAATTAAATCTTGATACGTAACCAAAAGTCTTATGTGGATCTCGATATATTTGGCTGTACAACAAACTAATCCAAATTATACAGGAAAATGCCAATATGCTTAAGGTTATGACTCGAGGTGTAACCACACTAACACAAATCATCAAAATCCAGTATGCCACCCAATGCTTTTCTTCCCTCGTAAAATCTATCGTTATGGATGATCAAGAAATATGTGAAGTTAGCGATGCAGAGTTTTCGAAATAAAATAGAAATGGTCCATGGTGTTGGTGTTGTTGAATTGACTCGGAAAAATAGATTTTCCGGTTGAGGTTGAGGTTTAGGTGGTGAATCTCACGAATGTTCGTTCTCCCTTGGATATAGCATATATGATATGTGGTCTTTGAATGGGAATGGCTTTTGAGTTCCCTCAAAGATTTACCATAAGCTCATCATCGGGACATCGTGGACAGGAGCCCGAATAAATCAAGATAGAACGCGGACCATTAGTAACTGCACTGGTAGGCGCTTATGGCGATCATCTGGGTGTCCATTGTGCTGAAAGTTTGACCCCAACGGCCATTCAGGCCGGTGTGTTTAATACTCTGTTGGCATCTAGACAAGGTCTAGTTCAATGGCTCAATCACATATATACGGCAGCTCATCAGCAAATCATTCATGTACAGCAGTGTTGCATAAAATGTTATTTGCTTAATAACCACCAAGTTTCCTTGCCAATATCTTTCATTCCTCTTCATCATCAAGGTAATTCATAATGTCAGCTTTAGGGAATCCACATACCGATATGCTGCCTTCCGAGGACTCGAGCTTTTTCTCCAACTTACCCACTGAATTAAAGTGTCGCATTGTCGATTTACTTGCTGCAAAAGATGTCATTAACCTCCGTCTTACATCAAGAGCTTGGGGTGGTGTATCTGTCACCGGTCTTTTCAATGTCCGTACTGAGAACCATATCGAACATGGCGTGTTTTCCATTCGACCACATCTTGACGATATGACTCGATTACGATCCGTTGCTGGCTCCCCATGGCTAGCAAGAGTTATAAAGCATGTAAAAATATATGTTGGAGATTTGGATATGTTAGAATTCGACCATGAAGTTCAGACTGTCAATGGATATACCAAAATCGAGAGTATGTTGACTTGTGAAAGGAAGGTCAACACCTTATTGGAACAGACTGTTCAGAACAGAATGAAACATTGCGATCCGGTCATGCTGTCTCACTCCCTGTCAAAATTACCCTCGGTTAAATCCGTTACAGCCACCGCGAATGAATGTCCATTTTCGCCTTCGGAGGTCAATTTCACATTAGCATGGATGCGACTCATGCGAAGATGGAATCGTGAGCCAGACGCACTTTATGACTCTTACGATACCACATTTCCTACAAGATCCAGTATCAGACATCTCAGTATACTACTCGCAATACGATTACTGCAGAATCCTGTTCGAAATCTAGTATTAGATACTTTTCCCATCGATCTTTTCGCCAGTCAAAGCTTCCATGACGATGACGACCAACCTGGACCATCCTATGAAATCCACACTAACTTCCTCCATGATATGCAAGATATGACATCGAAAGTTGAGAATCTCCGAATTGGTATCAATCCTGTTAGCAACAATGCAACAACTCACGAGCACACCAGAGTAATCGCTAAATCTATGAGTATGTTTATGGGATCCATGCAATCCCTTCGATCTTTAGATATTACCTTGAACATGTCCTCTCGATTTCCGAATGATTCAATGGAATTAACAAACCAGGGTGAATTCTATTCCAATACATTCCCACGCCTCGAGCACTTTTGTGTTTCCAAGGTAAGATCTTTCGATACGCCATTCTTCTCATTCATTTTCCGTCACAAAGCAACCTTGAAATCTGTATCCCTAGGACACGATTTCTTCCTCGTTCCTCAAGAGAGACCTAGGGGTTGCGTCTCTGTCAAATCTATTCTTTACAAACTGCGCGATAGCTTGAAGCTGGAGAGATTCCAACTGTTAGTCAGTGCCGGCGATCAACGGATATATGATCAGGAGTGGCAGGTCGCAAAGTCTTCTGGAGATAAATTACCAGATGCAAAATTATTCGAAATGTTCGTTTTGGGGAAATGGTCATGGCCAATGATAAATGTAGATTATCCGCATTGGAGAAGATTGGATGAGTGGAAAGGATGGGTTAGAAGAGATGGATGGGATAAGCTAAAGTCGAAGTCGAAAAGGGACATTAGAGAGTTGGATTGGCAGGACGTAGATGTATAATAAAAAAGTTTAATTATTCTTTGATCTTCTGATTGCCATAGCATTTTCATTCGAGCAAAATTTGATTGATGAGTTCTCCAAGTAAGTGACGGTGTGAAAGTTTGATGAGTGTCGGATCGTTCTCTCCTTTCCAAAACCATGCGGGGATGGGTCAGTAGAACCGGCCTTTTACTTGTCCTCTTTTATGCTTTAACTTTCTCTCACATTTCAGCCGATCTCTTTTAGTAGCTCTCACTATCTCAAGTCCAGATCCTACCACCACCTCCTTCAATTCCACCTAGTCCAATTCTCCCCAGACTACATAGAAACCCAAACAGATCATCCCATACACCAAGAAAAATCTCAATCGCCTACCCCTAAGTTTCATTGTCAAAACAAAATCCGGCCTTCTGTATGGTCAACCCACTCCCCCAAAAATATCTAGTAGTACAAGTATAGCTCGTACTATATTCTCGCAAGATCTGTCACCATGTGGGGCTTCTCCAAGACTTTGACATGACGTGCGTCACTAGATTCCAGTCTTGTCATGTCTAGTTCTATTAGGACTGCATAGGCCTCTACCAATAGGATATCATGTTATTTTTCTTCGTTGCGGATTAAAATAGTGCGTGATAGATTTTAGTCGATACTATAAAGGAATGGTGAGGTATGAATTGCTGATGGGCTAGATGTGTTGGCTTTTACAGTACGGAAATTATGTGCTTGTTTTCGATGACGGGTACGCTAGGTGATGTGCTGAGAATATCATGTGGAGAATTTTTCTACGGTTGAATGTCTTTAATATATAAGAATCATTTGCACTCGAATGAACCACATTCTTTACACATTAGCTACTTTCTCATCGTGTTGAATATTTACACCATCTCAGACTTTCATATCTCTCAAACATTTAACTCCTATCAATCTTCAAAAGCATCAAAATGTCCGAATCCACATCCACCTCACCCCCCTCTCGACAAGAATACTTTCCCGGCCGAAGTATTCCGCTTAATCATAAAATATATTAGCCCGGCCACTCTCCCCAGCGCCAGATTAGTAAGCCGTAGCTGGGCACTCTTGATCCTAGAAGTTCTATTTGCACAGCGAGGATTCTCCACATCACCTTTCAAAAATGGTATGCAAAGACTTGAGGAGGTAGCACAAACCATTGCCATGCCCCCAATCTATCACTTAAATATCGGTCTTGGGATTGTCGATAGTCGTAGATTGGGTTTGGATATTCTGCGGAATACGCCGTCGGTTTTGCTCGCAAAGATGTCGAAGGATGAGAAGACACGGTGGTTGCGGGATCAGTTGTTGGTAGCTTCGGATAGATATTTACGATATTGTCGATGAGATGCGTTTGCAAGACTCTTGCTGCCTCTGAACAATTTGTCATCGATACCTATTTCGAATATTGAGAATGCCTTTTCTCCGTGTTTGTATCAACGCCATGAAGAATTACTGGATGATCCAGAAATGGATATGGAGATCTACACACGGGAACAATGGGCTTCTCTACCTCCAATCAAATTTCAGGGGGTTCTCGGCATACTCACTCGCATGTCCTTATCTGGCTCTCTTTCCCTCACACGCTTAAGAATCGAGTCGCTTCCTATCTACATGTTCATGGCTTGGGATTCAGAGAGGGCAAGTGGCACTGACGTCTCGGCTCGATTCATTGAAGCTTTCTCCCATCTCGAATCACTTTCATTGGGTCTTTCATGCTGCGCTCCCAATGCGCGTTTATCTTTCAATCCTGAGCCTTCATGTTTTCATCACCGGGCTACAAGTCTTATCGCCTAGTGGAATATATTAGCCATAGACACCATGTGTAAAGTTGTGTCTTCGATGAAGAATCTCAGACATCTAGATTTAAATTGGCAATTATCGACGATTGACGAAGAAGAAGGATGTATTCCCAAAACGAACTCGAAAAACTTGAGACAGATGTGGAATGAAGCATTTCTCGAAGGTACCTTTCCGAATCTCGAGATGCTGCGACTTCCTTGGTTCTGTATGGAAAAGATAGATCTTTTTACATTTCTGTTCAGACATAAAGGCACGTTGAAATATATAGATCTGGGAAATTATACTTTTGAGAAAGATGGCACGTCGTGTTCTTTCAAGGAATTTTTTGAGGGTCTGGAGAGGATGCTTGAGTTGGAGAAGTTGGAGTTTAGAGACGTGTATTCGATTTCGGCGAGCGTGAGGAAGAAGGAAAGGAAGGGGAGAATTTATAAGGAGATAGTGAAGAAGTAGGGATTTGATAGGGATTGAGGAAAGATTTTTTGTACATAGAGAAGAGGGAGAAGAATGGAATTTATAATAATTTTCATGATTCCTCAGATCACGATCTTTCGTGATGTTCCGCAGACCATCTTGTATCTTCAGAGTTGAATACTTTCCTGTAAATTTCCATAGTGCTTCGAGCGCAGCGAGCAAAGGGGGTTTGGGGGCTTGCCCCCATGAGTAAGTGAAAGTGTACATTTTGAATCTATCTTTATTGCGTAAGATCGTCTCTAAGGGTATATTGGATTGTCAACTCGTGAAAATTGATCATCATGATGAAGTTTGCAGTTCTCTTCTCTTGACAACATCCTCGACAACCTGTTCCAACCACCATGCATGAATCCTCGCATCACCTGTTAGTTCTGGATGGAAAGATGTTCCAAAAACATTTGCTTGACGGACAGCTACTATGTCTCCTGCTTCGCTATTGAGTGATTCTTGAATTTCTGGGTTAGAATGGGTCGTGCGACCAGGAAGCGTGGCGAGAACTTCCACAGGAGCGGAGAGAATAGTATCAGGGTTTGGGATAGATTTTGAGTCGATTGGTAGAGAAGGTGCGATGACTGTGGAGTCTAATGTGGATTCTGAGATTTGGGCTCCGGGAACGTGGGGAAGGAGTTTCTCCACGATAGGGGCTCGGATAAATATTGCGGAGAAAGGTGCAGGCTTTTCTTCTTTCCCTTGAGAAGAAAGAGGAGTGGAAGTAGGATCTGGATCTGATGAAGTTGGACCTAAAGACGAAAGGAATGGTAGATCTAGATTGGCCGAGAAAGATTCTACTTGTCGACCAAAATGGTTACGATTCACTCGGACATCGAGACCACCAATCAATTCCTGGCCACCGGCTTTGGTACGGTTTGCAGACTCGGCAAGTAGGATAAGACCTGCACAAGTTCCCCAAGTAGGATAGCGATGATATCTATGGAGTTATTAGAATGAATACTGGATGAAGGGGGAAAAGTCATGTGGATGACTCACTTCACATAAGCTCTCAGAGGCTCAAGAAGACCTGATCTTTGAGCAACAAGTGAAATCGCAGTACTTTCACCACCAGGGATGATGAGTGCATCACATGAATTAAGTTCGGCTTCATTTCGTACTTCTATGAACTTGTATTCAATAGAAAAGTCTCCTTTTGGTGATTTTGATGTAGTGGCGAGAATTTCACTGGCGGAACGGAGACATTGAATATGTTCATTGAAAGCACCTTGAAGAGCTAAAACTCCAACGGTGATCTTCAGACATTGTGTATTTGCCATATCAAGCATTGACGGCGAAAGAATGCTTTAATCGGGAAGATATAAATAGAGGGATGGAAAATATATTCTTCACCTGATTTCGCTATATATTCTCGGAACGAAAGGGCACAATTAATGCCAAGAAGACGATAAACTCAACCGATTGCCGAAGAATATCCTTGTAAATTTACCCCAAAGAACTATCTAGTGGGTAATTAGTGAAGTCACCCGAGCAACCTTAATTATAATTTCAACCAATCAAAATTCAATTCTGTAAACCAATGAAAATTAATCCTCAACCATTTCTTATGCGCTCAAGGATCTCAAGATTTAAGCTTCACTCGTCGTTCTTTCCCCTCCTCCTCAATCTCTTGAACCGCTTCTACAAAAAATTATATTGGCTGATTATCTTATGTCACTCTACTTCCCTCCTTGAGAGGGTCATTTGAACATTCGATTAATTAATCATCCAATCATTGAAAGGGTTTATTAATTTGTGCAAGATTAGCATAAACAAGTCGAGCTCTCAGTCATATTTTACATCTACCTATCTAGGTACATAACCCTCAAGATGTTCGCTCTTCTTTCTTACGCTACAAATCTCTCGATAATCTATACCGTCCTCACTCTATCTCTCTACATGCTTTCTCCTCTTGTTCCCCTCGCGGGTTTCTTCGCTCGTCTCCTCGCCGGTTATATTTCCCTCGTCCTTTGCGCTTGTTATGGAGTCTTTATATCTATTCTCCTACGTCTCGTAGGAAACTATCGCATATCGCAATGGGCAGTCGCTCGCGCATTTAAATGGACGATGTGGTTGACTACCGGCGTAACATTTGTCGTCGAAGATCCGAACAATTATCTCGGTTCAACACGTCCCGCAGTCTTGATAGGAAATCATCAAACCGAACTCGATGTACTCATGTTGGGCTGTGTATTCCCTCGATACTGTTCTGTTACCGCGAAGAAGAGTTTGAAGAATGTGCCATTCCTCGGCTGGTTTATGAGTTTGAGTGGAACGGTATTTATTGATCGGGGCAATGCGAAAGATGCGCGACAAGCTATGGCGGGAGCAGCAAAGGAGATTAGGGAGGAAAAACAAAACGTTTATATGTTTCCGGAGGGAACGAGAAGTTATGCGAAGGATCCAACTTTGTTGCCTTTCAAGAAAGGAGCTTTTCATTTGGCCGTTCAAGCGGGTGTGCCGATTATACCGGTCGTGGTCGCTTGTTACAGTAATGTTTTGCACGTCCAGAGCTGGCACTTCAGATCGGGGAGGATACCGGTTAAAGGTATGCTTTCTAAGTTTTATTCGAGGTTGTAAAGACGAAGCTAACTTGGAAAAATTGTAGTTTTGGAACCAATCGAGACGAAAAACCTTACTTCTGCAGACGTCGAAGATTTGGCGAGAGATACGAGGGAATTGATGTTGAGGGAGTTGGTAGCTTTGACTTCAAAGACAGAGGGAACGCCAATAGCTATGCCGGCACAAAATGCGGATGGAGTTATAAAAGCTAGTGGAAGGGAACCGCAAGTGGAACATCATATACTATGAGGGCTTGTATGCTGTGAAGGACGGAGCCGATCCTTAAAGGTAGATGGATAGCTACAGAACCGGATACATGTCCGCATAGGAGAGAGATGACACAAGGAAAATGGGTGGGTTGTACGGAAACGGAACACAAAAAGAAAGACGGGGAGTCGAAACAAATCATGAAACATGAGATATGACATTCAGCAGGCGAAAAGAATCCATCTTGCATGACTTTGGAGTACATGGATATGGTATACCAATGCGAGCGCGAAGATTTGAAATTCAGATAGTGGTAGATACCCGGTAGAATTGGCATTTGATCTAAAGAACAAAATGGATATCGTTATGAAATTCTATACTGCACAGGAATTTGGATGAGGTGTGGCCTAGAGCTTAAGTCCAGATTCAAGTGGGAGTTCCACTTTGATGTCCATTATCCAAAGTTAACCCGCCCTCTCGTTCTTTTCGCACCCCATAGGTATTTTCCTAGTCTTCCGTCTTCTGTCTTACCTTTGTTGTCTTTCATCCTCGTTTGACGTTTCTTGCTACGCCTGAAGACTGTTTCTCTTCTTGGATAATTTGCAAATATAGAGGCTGCTAGTCCGTGTTCTTTGCTAGATACTAGGCAGTCTATTCGGTTGGATAAAAGTGATTTGTCTGAGATGAATGAGTAGTTCTGTATATGGAAGCTATATTGTCACTTTGAGTTGAGGTTGAGCAGGGGAGGGAGAGGAGGGGAAACGAGAAAAGATAGAGGGGCATGGGCCCTGAGGGAGAAGGCAGAATAGCAATGGTGTGGAAAGGCAAGGAAAACAGGATTGAGGCGAGAGTGGCTCGGGACTTCCGTAAACTGCAGGTTTTACCTGATATTTTGAAGCAAGTTTGGAGGGTTTCAATATTTGAGATGTGCTGTCGCATTTAGATGGGCTACCCTGTAAGTTGTGACTAGATTGATATACTAGGTAGTCAGCTGCTCTATTGCGGCGAGTTTACTGTTGGATTTGATTTGAATCTGAGCGTGTTATTGATGAAAATAAAGAGAAACAGTGCAGTCGTGATTATTACCTATGAAGACCTCTGAAGATAGGGGACGTGAAGAGGTTGAAAGATGTGAAGGAAAGTACCTATGTATACTGACCGGAAAGTTTGATACATACAATGAAAGAACGTGACCTGCTCCCATAATCATGATGTGCCCAGGTGACTCAATCAACCTCACCTTGCAAAGGGTGAACTTCGGGAGTCGGATTTTGTTAATGCCGATACAACATCTCTTGTCTATTTATCAACATTCTCTCTTCCATCAAATTTACACATGTAGAAACATAGACCAAGATTTACAGGAACGGATCTTTGAGATACAAAAGTTGTTTTTGTGGTATCGAATTCATGAAGTGTCAATACATCATGTCTGCAGATTGGTTTTTGATGTCTCTTGACTTGGAGATGGATTATTTGATGCTTTGTTTGAAGGACTGCTTTGTCTCATAAATAGAGCCACTTTTTGAAGCAGTGATTGCTAAGTACTCGTACTTATACTTATAGAAGACAACTTACCACACCAACTCTTTCGACACTTTGAAATAAACACCATGGATATTATCGAAGATGCGGTGTTGTCCACAGCCACTTGGCCTTACAAGAAACACCGAAGCAAATACCGACGAAGAATTTGGAATATAAGTGTTCTGATTAGCGACTCTTACTTTGGAGAGGCAATCAGTGGAGTGAAAGCTGAGAGGGGAAAGAAGAAGAGTATTTTTTCGATTAGAATTTGAGAACCGCGCTTCACTTTTCTTCCACGTCGAGGGTTATGTTGTGCACTTGGTTTGTTTCACGCGCACTTGCAGTGTATACTGTGGGAAAGAAGATGTGAGGATTTGCCAGCGCATTCTCAGATATCTTTGTCGGAGTTCCTAAATGTTTGGAGTTTAATGGTGGAAGGTGGGTTGCGGAAGTGGTTGTGTGTTGATAGCGTGTCAGATCGCAAGAGACTATTTAGGCAGGGTATCCAAAAAGTCCGGACCATTGGACACCCTGTGGTCACCGTCACCGTCACCGTCACTACTGCTACCAAGAGGTGTTTTCTCAAGGTTGTCAAGACACAGGGCATTGAATCCTTAGACTGCCTGTCAGAAGTATCTTTTTCTCATCAGAGATCCTGATTTAACACCAAGGTAGACTTACCCAGAAGCTTTACGCTGTTGCGGTGTATTCTCCAGGTTTCCGACTCTTGTCTTCAGAACAAAGCTGGCGAAACTCACTGGGTATCTAAGATGAAGTCGAAGGAAGATGTGTGGACTCTCTTCACCTCTGTATATATATAAAGATTTTTCTGAGTATAGTTAATACGCTCTACGAGCTTGTCCCTGGGAAAGTCTGCTTGATCTGGGAATTGATAGATCTCAGCATCATGATCATCGTGCAACTTACATCAGACTTCGATGCTTCGAGGTGGTACTTATGTGTATTAATTCTGTGGAAAGTAGCCACGAGTTTGCACCACAAGTTATGGATGAGAGATAGTATCTTTACATTATTTCTTTTTGAATATCCAGTCCTTTCCTCCAAGCCCAGGCATCAATTAGTGATACTTGGTACACTAGCAGCTATCTTACATTGAAAATATTCTCAAAATAGCCAATCCATTGTTTGCAAACGTTCCAGTGCAGATATACCTTGTGGAGCTTCGTATTCTCTTACAATAATTTTCTCCTTGGCGATTAATCTACCCTTGTGTGATTTCTTTTGATTCTCAAGATACTTGGCAAGTTCCTCCCAGAAGAGCTCGCACTCTCCTAGCGAATCGAGAGTCACGAGTCTAGGCATTGAAAGCCAGTCGTCTATGGCACAGGCACCTGTGAAGACCAGCCTGTCAAGGTTTTTAAATCTACTCAAAAAGCTGTTCCTATACACACGCGGGAGAAACCATGAAATATTCGACGTGTCAACTGGCAAGCTTGTGACAACGTCTCGCACGTCTAAAAATCTAACACCTTTTAGACCGACATCTTTCAAGGCACCTTTCTTTTTAAGTGCTTTATCAACTTCGTCATACCAGACCTTATGAACTTTTTTTGAGCCATATGGTTTTATGAAGTTATAAGTGATACACAGTGTATCTACTTCTGGGTTAAAGCAGAATGGCTTCATATATATAGCCCTACTACCGTGGTGATGTCGATCAACTATAGTGTAGTGCTCCATCGTTACTTGACGGCTGATCTTGCAAATCGCCAACGTGATTGGTAGCCCAGTACGTCGCTCGTCGAGTTTTATTTGATGTGGGTAAATGGCATAATCTATAAATGCTGCTCGACCAGCAGGAAACAAAGCTTTCCAGATCATTTTTTGAAGTTTGAGAGGGAGAGTCGAGAAAAACTTGAAAGTGCCATACTTATCAAGTAAGTCGCGACTTTGTGAATCCTCGTCAGATCCTTGAGTCAAAAGCGCATTGGCATGAGAACCGATTCCAAAGAATTCGTTTTGATATGCAGGAAGTCCTTCGACACGCTCCCCTGCTTGTTTCGTAGCAATTTGATTCGAGTGGTGATTATCTTCGAAGCTGCCTGTATTGCCAGACTGGTAGAATCTTTGATCGGAAACACAGGGCTCGCATACATTGAGCATAGAGTGTGTTGCAAAGTTGAAGTCATCTGCGGTCTCGTCAGTACTCTATTGGGACGTCGGGAGTAGAGCGCAGTTATTTACCGCCAAAATACACCCCTACGTTTCCATTCGAACCTGGATCATCTTGCACATCTGCTTGTTCAGAACCAAAACCGAAGACACCACTATCATGCGGCAGATAATCAGGGCTGGATACTGTAGGAAACCCATATTGATCAAACGGGGGGTTCAAGGGTGCTGTATTTCCCATAGTACCCAACTGGCCATTAATAGTGGAAGGTATCTGCAGCGGTGGGCTGAAAATAGCTGATTGACTTCGTGCCATTGTAGGATCAAGATATGATGAACTTCTTGCTTGGTTATTCAAGGTAAGTTGAGTTGGAAATGTATTAAATAGTGGGTTGAAATTGGTTGGTTGACTTGGTACTATTCTAGAGTCAGGATGATATGAATTTCTCCCTTGGTTAGTGAAGGCAAGTTGATTCGAATCTGCATTGAGTGGTGGGTTGAAATTGGCTGGTTGACTTGGTGCCATTCTAGTGTTAGGATAGTATGAATTTCCTTCTTGGTTATTAAAGGTAAGTTGATTCAAATTCGCATTGAGTGATGGGTTGAAAACGGCTGGTTGACTTGGTGCCATTCTAGTGTCGAGATAGAATGAACTTCCTCCTTGGTTATTAAAGGCAAGTTGAGGCGAGCCTGTACTAAGTGGTGGGTTGGCCCGTAGAGAAGTTGGTGATGCAAAAGTTGGAGATGTGTAGCCATCTGCGCCATTGTTAGTACTCTATTGAGGCATTGGGTTTAATTTCCATTTATTTACTGAAGAAACTATCACCTGTATACTCCTTGTAGCCACCTTGCATACCTGTATGGTCATGTCCAAAGTCAAAGGCATCACTAAGATGCGGCGGATGGTTGCTCCAGGGTGTGGTCAAAAATTGAGACTGATCGACCTGGAAGTTAGACGGTGCTGTATTGCCGGTTTGAAGTTGATTATATTCTTCTGCCGTCAAACTCATCGGAAGTTGATTTGGAAGGTAATAAGATGGCGCACTTTGTTGTTGATAATTATCTATTATGTTAGCACGTTCTGTATATTGTCACTCTATAAGTTTGTTAACTTACCAAGTTCCATTGGTCTACCAAACTCATAATCAGCCGTTTCCGCACCAGGCGTTGTTAAGTTCTGATTATCAGGTGGCCATGAAGGGGGGTTGAATCCGTCCATCTTGCTTGTCAAGTTGTTTTTATGTTGTATGAAGAGTTTAAATGGGATTTCTTTTATGTTTTCGATTGTATATTAGAATTTATTTGTGCTGCGGGGACTTCTCAAGAGACTTTGTTTACGCGGGGTATCACATGATGATGAATTAACAGAGCTCAGGGTGAATATTGAATTTTGTGAATTAACTGTATTCTAATTTCGTTTCTATTTTGGTTATCGGTTATTGGCTATGCAGGGGTTTGTGAAGACGACTGCTGAGATCATTGGCTGTAGGGTCTATCTTCAAGTCTGTGTGAAGTTTGGGCTTGTAAGTGCAAGATTTCTGTCATTTCATAAGTTTCCGCCAGCTTCTAAATTAGGAATTTCGATACGCAGTCTTCTGTGGAAGAATTCATAGTGTAAAAACTACCTATAGTAGTGTGTATTGGAGTCCGGTCTAGCGGAATGGTTTCAGAGCTTCAAAAGATTATTTGCACATCATTATCGGCGTGAACACAAGAGTTTGCACGCATTTATAAAATAGAAGACTTTTAATGGTCTAGTCGTAAACTGAACTATGGAAACCCAAAGACAAAGTGATCTTCTCGATTACTTCTTCCTTCAATTGCCATGTCTGCTACGTTCACTTACTTTGAGACTGGCAGCGGCTCGTGAAAACCGGGCACATGAAAACTGGGCAGGTCTGATACAACCCTCTTAACCATAACGAAGTCCTTGCCTTGCCTTGCCTTGCACATTCTTTCTCTCTTATTACAAATTCTCCCGAGCAAACTCAACTTCGCTTAACTCCGTTGTTTTATCGAGGTGACCCTCAATTGTATACCACGAGAAATGCCTCTCTTCTTCATTGATAGGTTAAGGTTCCTAGTTTTGTGCGAAATGTCAGTCAGCGGAGCTTATTGTCAGAGTATCTAGCCAATCGGGGTTTATGGTAAAGCCAATTGAAGTAACTCCAAGATGGCGAGGACATCATGTAGATCAAGACAGAGAGATATTGATTTGTGTGTATCTCCCTCATAGTTACCGGAGAAATGTGAAATGATACATACTTTTATTCTACTGATTCAACACTGGTATCTGATTCATCCTCTGCTTCAACAGCTTGAGAGGTCGAGTTCTCTGGATCATTTTGCGCTTCAACAGCTTGAGATGCCGACTCCTCTAATAATTGGGAAGCGCTGTTGGCGATTGCAGACAGTAATTTTTGCGACTTCGCTGGCTTTCTACGACGAATAGATTTATTTACTCGGTTTGCATCCCGCGAGGGATCCTTTCGAGTATCAGATTTCTCATTTCTAGCGGGATGTCCTGAGAAAGTTAGAAACCTTCAATTCTATCATCTAAAAGGAAATTAGAACTTACTGAGCGGATTGGAAGCCTGAGGAGCTTCCATCTGTGGTTGATGGACGTTGGATGCCAATGTACCTGGTATAGTTGGTGAGAAAACTATAGCGGATCGAGTATCGACTTCTCCGGAGTCGAGGGCTGCTCCTGTTTTTTCGACACTCGAGATAGGCGTCGGGTTGCTATCAAGCTGGGGTGTTTGTCTCGACCTGGTGTCTTGTGGCAATGAAGGGCCAGAATGGATTGCGTTCAATGGTTGAGCAGCATCTGGAATTAAGTCAAAAAACTGCGCCAGTGGTGTAATAGTACTCAGCTTACCAGACAGGATTTGATCCTCTGTAGTATCCATCTCATCGCCACCTGAAGCAGGCATATCGCCTTGATCATTGCGGACTTCATGCTGGTTTGATTGCATGTTGTCTGGAATATTAGGGACATCTAAGTCTTGTTCGTTGCTGTGTATCTGCTGGTTTGGTAGCATATTGCCTAGAATATTAGCGACATCTAAGTCTTGTTCGCTGTGGACTATATGCTGGTTTGGCGGCATGTTGTCTGGAACATCAGGGACATGTAAGCCTTGTTCGTTGGCGCTGATATGCTGATTTGATGGCTCATCATAGGAAACATTAGGGACATCTAAGCTTTGTTCGTTGCTGTCTATATTCTGGCTTGATGACATAGCACCTGGAACATTAGGGACATTTACGCCTGTACCTACTGGCCCTGGAGCCCCCTGATCACTAACATAACCAGAAGGTGTATCAGGTACAGGGCTTTGCGTATTTTGGACTGCAAGTTGATGTGCCGCCCAGTTGGAAGGTGTAGTGAGAGAGCTATGAGATACATCTTCATCATCATCATCATCATCATCATCAGACGTTTCCTCATCATATGGGTCAGGGTGATTATTGTATGGCGAATCTTCGAAACGATCTAGGATGACGTGTTGAGGAGTCGTCGAAGGAAGATGATTGGTTGACATGCGGTCTCCGGAGCTTGGGACGGCTTGTTGTGTCAGAGACATAGTATTATTGTATTGCACATGGCCGTTGCGTTGGACCTCCTGGTACTGGGGAATATTCCGGAAAATGCCATTTTCGTGATTGGTATGGTGTGTAGGAACTGGGTTGTTCTCCGAAACTTGACTATTGGTACCTCCTTGATAGTTATTCATGGGATGCATCATACCTGTAGTCATATCCGTTTGATGGGCTCTCTGGCCCGGGGGTTGTAAACCGTTGTAATGCGGTTGGGAGAAATGGTCACTTATGGTATTCATCATAACTGTAGTTAAATCCGTTTGATGAGCTCTCTCACCAGGCGGTTGTAAGCCGTCGTAACGAGGTTGGGAGGTAAAGTTATTGATAAACATCATGTTGGCTGCATATTTATTGACTTTTGTATCATTATTAGAAAGCTCTGAAGATGTAGGAGAGGTATCCATCTTACTACGTTGAACTGCGGTCGAGCTGTATGGATCTTCTACACGATTGTGTCCGTTACGTATACCTTGGTGTGCATTATGAGTAACTTGGTGTGCATTATGAGTAACTTGGTGTGCATTATCCCCGAGTTCGGAAACGGTGAGTACTCGCAGATGACGCGGATACGATACTCGTTACGCTCTTGAAGTTTACTAAGAAAGTTGTGATAGCTAGCTAATACTTGACTTGGTGAGCCATTCGAAGTCTCTTGGTTTGGTTGTTGGTTATTTCCTGCTTTATTGATTAGCATGCATTGTGTTTACACCATGAACGTATCATCTTACCAGTGAAACCTGCACTAGTCTGCCTATTTTCTTGGTTGAATGCAGCAGCAAGCACATTATATGGTGAAGTTTGTGGACGAAAACCAAGTGAAGGGCTTCTTAAATTTACTCCGTCGTCCAGGACATATTGATTTCCAGAAGGTTGACTATTTGGCACATTGTTGGATGGTGAAATAGGTTGATTGTTGAACTCGCCGGTACCTTGCAACCAGCGGTGAACGCGATCTGGGGATCTGATCAGAGTGCGATAGTCTTCTGGTTGTGGCTGTGGTTCTGGGGGTGGGGAACTTATGTTGAACGTCAATAGATGTTGGTGTTTGACGTTGAGGTTTATTTGATGTTGTGTTGTGTTGTATGAAGCTCTTTTGTTTTTGATAATCAACGTTGTTCTTTTGTGGAAGATTGCACATACGAAATGCCACGAATGTGCGAATAAGAGTTAGTGTTTGTTTATACAGTCGCGTATTTTACTCTATTTCAATAATTAGTTCCTCTAGATAGACATTAGATAAGTTATGTTCAACACGCTAGTGAAGGGGTGATGTCATGGAATTAGGGCTAGATGGGCTATTAAGTTGATGATGGTCAATGCTAGAAAGTTTTATTCTGAGCTAGTAATCTGAGAGGAAATTAGACAGGGAGGGACTTGTTGGAAAATTGATACGGCTTCATATTGTTTAGCGTGATATGGGACAATCTAGATGTCACGAAGAGATTGACAATTTTTTATAATTTTTAGATGATGGGTTTCTTGTGCGCATCTACATCTTTCTAATTCTGATGGTCCAAAAGATTCCAAATAATTTTGACTAAATTAGCGTGGCTTTTTAGTGAGCAACTATTCCCGGTACGCTAGTTAAATAACAAAGCTATTACATTGTAAACAATCCTTCTACCATATAGATCGCCAGATTCCGCTATGTGACACAGCACGCATTGTTCCATCACCTACCTTGTCCAAAGAAGAAGTAATCATCAATTCCTTCCCTTCTTCATTTACCAGTCTCTCTTTCATTCTCCCCCTTCGTTCACTGTGGGGAGGGATAAACGCGCTCCTTTCCCCTCCCGCCAGGCAACCCATCAAAGAGCCCTACTAACTGTTGAGCACCAACACAACAAAATGAATTAATGGATCAAATAGCACTATCTAGTCATACACAAACTAGCATTTCCGGGGTGCGTTTTGTATGAATTCCTTTGAGCACTTATATCTAACAATGGTAGTGTAGATGTAAAAAGAAACCCCCGATGATCCTCCTTTCCCTACCTCTCTCCCCCCTCTCTCCTCAATGTCAAAGAGCCTCCAATCGTGTATCTGAATAAATAAGACTCTAGATCACATATTGCTACATTACCATCTAATTCATCTAACCATACAAAGCCCAGCAATTCCAGTTGTCGATCTGCACGCGTTGCTCTAGAGCCCTAAAACCCCAAAATAATAACACAAAAACAAAAATAAAACCTCTTTTAATCCCAAACCCCTCCCACCCCCTATCCATCCCCTGATTTTCGAAACTTCACGCTTGTCCCATTTTACATTACACAATCACTCTCATACCTCAAGTCACCATATCCATACCCTCCTATCACCATATTCTCATATCCTGAAATCCATATCATCACACAATCTTACCACACAACCATACAACCATATCACCCTACAAAACCCAGCACGTAAACCCCATAACCTCAAACCCCTACACCCCATAAATCCTTCCACAATCCACAAAGATCACCGCACAACCTCAAGAAGTACTAGTGTGTCCCTCAGATTCTAGACCATCAGCATCGAGAAAACCACGCAGATTTCATCAGAACCATACCACATCCCTCTCTGAGTCCAGCAAACCCCTCCGTTACTCACATATCGCATACGTCTCTTTCACCTCGCCTTTCCTCCTCAGCTCAATTCAAGCCCTCCATACAAATATCTCATTCCCATCTCCCCCTTACCCTTCACCAACCCCCTGACCTCGCTTCTCCGTCCCTCCCAATTAAAAAATTGGAAAGGCAGTTAGTTTATCATTCCTTCATTATCAGATATTTCCTACCAACTGTTATATCAATCTTCAATCATCAACTATCAGCCATAATACTCCTTCACATCCCCAATTTACCTTACACTACACTCACTACACTCACCAACCCCGCCACCCCTTCCCAGCCTCATTGGATCCAATCCAAACCAATCCACACCCTCGTTCGTGTCATTCTATCATCCTATCATCAGGCTATCCAAATCCCAATCTCAATCACAAGTCCCGCTACTCCTCCATCTCCATTGCCAAATAACCAAGAGACTCAGGTGCCTACAAGCAGGTGACGGAAGGGAAGCACGGAGACAATAAAGAATGAATACGAATTGATTAACATCAAGACCTCACTTGCCAGACGTCACATATGCAGTGGTCATATCCTCGCCTTTTGTCTCCCATTCAGAACTTCGACCCTCAAGACTGCCAAGAAATACCCACTATGCACAGCTCACAGCCCAAAATTCACATGGAAAGCCAAAAAATATTGTCTAAATCATTGCAATTCATTTAAAGAAGATCGCGGGTATCTACTAGGCCGATTGGACCGAGCCAATCATTGTATAACACAATGTAGCCAACTATCTATCTACCTTTCCAGTTCCCCCTAGTAATACCAAACCAAATCTTCTTTCAACTCCTCATCTATGCAAGACTGCAAATAGATTCAGTCCAATAAAATCATGTACTTTAGTCTAGACGCATCTATTGCGCTAGTATACCCGCCAAGATGCGGATGGATATTCTATCTTTCACATCTTCCTTCAACCCTAATCACTCCATATTTATAACTTTGCATCCAACTCCTCAAACTCACTAATATGCTTGACTGGTTGTGGCCCAGCAGTAACCTGCAACATACCCTTGAATTGACGTACATCCGTGATAACATATGGTACAGTGCCATTGCCTTCAGCTTTGACGGCAATAGCTTCTCCATCTTCAGCATCTTTACGATCCTTATTGATCGCAAGAGCAGTTTGTTCCTCTGGTTTTGCTTCTGGCAAAGAGGTTCCTTGAGCAATGAGGTGAATGGAGAGTTTAGAACGAAGTGGAGAAGATGGTAGGATGAATTGATTATAGAATTGGATCATGTCTTCTTTGGTAAGTGCTTTGACGTTGGCAGCATCATGATGGACTTGGAGGAGGTCAGTACTTTTAAGTCAATAGTGTATACAGAATAACTCACCAAGCTCAAAATCAAAGTACTCATAATCAATATGAGACCATAAACGATTTGATTCTTGATCCAAATTCTTCAATTTCTCCAATCTTTTGGTAATCAAACTTCTCTTGTGTCCTTCAAATTCGGAATCTGACATATTCTTGAGGATTTCTGAGTATCCAAACAAGAAAGAATCGATTCGCTCTTCAAGATATTGTGGAGTTTTCTCACTTTGGATGATAAACCTATAAGCGATGGTAGTAGTTGTTGTCGAGCAACCACTGAATACAACATATCCCAACTGCTCCTTTGTTCTTAATTGATCAAATGCTGGCTCATGAGTCATTTGATCGAGGAGAAGAGTCTTGGCTCGTTGAGGACGAACAGCCTTATCTCCAACAGATAGAACATATTCGATGCAGTGATTGACATTGGCTGGATCTTTCAGAGTCTTATGATAAACGAAATTGGCTCCAGGTGGGAAGACCAAAGATCTACCTATTGGCCATTGAGTTTGTGGTAAGACTCTTGGCTTCAGAATACTTTCAGTTAAATCAGCCAATTTCAAAGCATCCTCCTTGTACAAGTTTCCATGTACAAAAGTTTCAATGTGCATCTGTCTCAATAGATGGGGGTAGAACTGTTGAATGTCGTCCACAGTAACATGTGGTAATTCGGCTAGATATTGCTCATTGATGTAGCCTTTCTCACTACTAAGCCATCTCATATAATCACCGACTTGATTATAAGGTTGTTGAAAGTCCCAGTTCTTCAAACCTCTTGCCAATCTCTCCTTAATGATTTCGAATCGATCTTGTTTGACTTCAAGATCTCTCATAGTAGTCAAGACCTTCTCCAAAAGAACAGGGAGCTTATCATTGTATCCGGAAACGCTAATCTCCAAACCCATTGAATGACTTGATACAGAGTATTCGAGTCCTGCAAGCTCAGCATCATAGGCGTATTCCTCTAATGCATCATATACCAAATCGGTATACATTCTTGCTTTGAGAGAATTTTCTGCAGTAGCCATTGGTAAAGGATTTCTGCATTGGATGAAAAGATTTGCTTTTGGAACCCAGAAAGTATCATCTGAAAACGAATTAGCCGTACGTTTTTGGCATGGAGGAGTGGAATTACTGACCTTTCTTGAACCATGTTCTTACCGAGTCATCATTTCTGATCAACTTGGGGGAAATGGCGGGTGTTTTCACCTCCTTCTTTTCAACCTCGAGTTTAGTTGGAATGAACTGATTTACATGAGGTAAATGTAATTCTGGGAAACGTTCTCCTTTCTTGCTTGTAGCAGCCTTTTTGATCTCTTCCAAGAAATCCGCCGGAATTTTCTCATATTTGTATTCTGTACCATACCACTTTTCCTTCGAATCCCAACCACCTGGGAAAGTTTGGGAAGAGATTTGCATACGGAAATTGTCAGCTCTTAAGCAATTGAGTCCAGCAGAAATTTTTTCTCCATCAAACTTTCGAAGTCTGCTATGACCACTGAGTAGCCATTCTCGAGGCAATGGTGTTTGCATGACGGCACTGATTTTGCTAGTGAATCTGCTAGCTGGAGTCTTTTGCTTGAATTTGAAATCGACATCGGCTAAACCCTTTTGCTCATCAAAAATCCATTCTTGTGGTGGTGTATCCTTGAGTAATGCGATATACTGGAAGAAAACCTTGACAACTTCCTTGTAGTTCTTAAGGCCATCTTCTGTCAGACGTATTTGACAACTGAACAAACCGGGAGTTCCAGGACATATTGGATAGACACCTAAGAAAAATTAGTATAAATTGGAAGTCTTGAAGGAGAGATTTGAAAAAGTCCTCGAGATCGAATCCAATAAATTCAAACTTACCTGCACTTAAAGCATTTGCCCACCCCTTAGACTTAACATAAGCCATAATACTACCTGGTCCTTCATGCCCAATAAGATGTGTCAAATATCGACTTGGTTGAGATTCAAAAAGAAGTTCTTCATCAATGAATGGAATGGAAATGTCCAAAGTTCGAGAATCCATAACTGGTTTAGCAAAACATTGGGTCGAAAGTTGGTCTGGTCCATAAGGCTGTTCATTCTCCCATCGGTTTTGCGGCAAGTCCTTATTTCGTACACCGGCGAAAAGATCTGCCGCCCAAGATTCCAACTTATCCAATGGCTCTCTTCCCAGTATGACAAGCTTCATGCGATTTGCAGAATAATGTTTCTCATGGAATTCCATAAACTTTTCCCGCACATTGATTCCCCGCGACTCGGGTTGTATTTTTAAAACCTCCAAATTTCCTGTCGAGAAGTGGCAATAAGGATGTTTTGGATTTGATAATGATTTATCCAATTGATGTAATCTCCATTGATCACTCTGTAAGTTCTTCTTGTTCTCCGAATCTACAGCCTTTAATTCTCTGTCCAAAGTCGAGTCGAGAAAAAGAGGGTCTATGAAGAATTGCGCGAATCGATCGAGAGCACCATACAAAGGCGAAGGGGTCGAATCTTTCGAGTCTCCATCCTCCCCCGATTTCGCAGCAACCTCAAAGTAATAATTTGTAGATGTGGCACCAGTATATGCATTGGAACTTCCAGAATGTGAGGAAAGGTATTGTGAATAAGCATTTTCAACAGGGTACTATTCAAATTGTTAGTATTGCGATCAATTAATGTGGAAGATGCGCGAAAGTGCGCCACCTCTCCAGACAAAGGATATACAATACCTTTTTAGTTCCCATGAAAAGTAGATGCTAGAAAGGAATTATATGTCAGCTTAATCTCTCATAGCATTGAAATAATCATAGTTACCTCTACAGCATGCGCCATACCAGGGAAATCTTCAGGGTCACTGAAATTCCCCACATTGACGTCCATGGCTGCTGATGCTTTATCTGTTTCAGCATCATGAACGAGTAAAACCTCTAGCTGATTGGGAAGCTTGATAACTCGATAAGAACGATCATCTAAGCTGGGCGTTTCAAGTCGATCGGTGACTCTCTCAACAAGTCTATGATGTACTCTCTGTTCTCTCAAAGGACTGTCGGGAGCGATTGGGCTCTTTGGCTGAGTTAAATTCGACATGTTTGTTGCAAGGGTCGAAGAGGACCTTGAAAAGAACGACGGAAAGTTTAAGGATTGTAAAGAAGGAGAATTGGGATTTCGAAGTCTCAACTTCTGATGATAACTTGCAAAAGATGAATGAGAATACTGGTGTTGTTTAACCCCGCCAAGGTTGAGCTTGGATTTCGAACCAGTGAATGATGGATATGGGTCCAAGGTCTGTGCGAAGGTTGATAGGAAGACAGGTTTCCGTGCTTGACCGTCTATCGAGGTATCGAAGTGAAAGGAGTGACGGTATCGATTATGAGTTGATGATCTTGGTTGTGGTCGCAGATGTTTTCTAGAGAAAAGGATCGTTGGTCTTGGTGACAATGGAGGAAGAAGGATCTGTTGTCTATGTAATATAATTGGATTCGTTGGTCTAGATAATCGTTGTCGAATTGAGCATTGGGCGGTTCCAGAACAGGTCATTCAGCCAGCCAGGCAAGTAAGACGCGCGGTTGATTTGCCTTTGATTGTATGGAGGAGGTAGGATGACAAGTTGATGGGAGGCAATTGGGATTGAGAGGTCGATTTCTGAGAGGATGGATCTCGAAAGAGATTGGGATGCAGGTAGAAGAGAAGAGAAAGAAAGTTATGTAGGGCCCTTTGAACCCTGATGGCGAAACTATATAATGTCAAGGATAAAGTAAGGGACCTTGGTAAAAGTTAAATGATAAAGAAGGGAGGAGGATCTGAGTCTTTGATGTATGTTAGTTTAGTGAACCTTACAACCGGTGAACCTATCGGAAAATGATTATGTAAATAGTAAAACATTCAAAAACATGACGATATTTTCTCTCAACAAACGGGATCCACGGATTGGATTTACAATCTATGGAGCTATAGGATATAAATCAGATAACATATGCCGGGAATGGAAGCAGAAAGGGTCTATTTGTGTAGTATGGTATGAAATGGTAGGTCGATAGGTCGGCAGGTCTAGAATGCCTGGTATTAGTATTCAACAAATATAGATCAACAAATCATACAAGTTAACGACCGACTCCTTTTTGACTCTTTTTGACTCTTTTTACCCCTTTGACTCTCTGGATTGACTTCTCTTCAATCGGAACAACTTTGATTCTTTGTACGATTCGTGTCATTCGTGTGATACCCATCTAACATCTACGATTCTCTATGTTTTGTGTGTGCCGTTTCATTTGTTTCAATTTCGTGATTCCTATCACCACTATTGCAATACCACCCATCCAATCGTCTTACCATGACACAACAACGTCAGCAATTCCCTTGTTCGAATTGGGATCGTAAGCCATTGCCAGCCCCATCAACTATTCACATTAGCGATCAATATCAGCCATGGAAGAATCAATAAGTCAATAAGTCAATAAGTAGGACCAGCGACATCAGCTACACCGGCATTAGCAACATCACCATCAGCGTCACTATCACCCAAAACATCGATAATATGGCGGTGTCCAGTGGCGGTGAATATAGCTAGGGAGAATAAATCCATTAAAGGGACAATCTATTCCCTTTTGATGCTACTACTGATCGGACCCTTGGACCTTTGGTTGCCTCGTCCAAAACCTTCTTCAGATCCTTGTTCTCGTCAATTTGCCTTATTCGCCTTCTTTTCCCCTCCATGCATCAGATCCATTGAACCCCTCATTTCCTCACTTACATCAGAGATAAAAAGTCCGATTTGATATTACCTATTCCCTGCCATATTACCTAGGTAGTCGAGTGGATGAACTCAACACCTCGGTATTTGATACATGAAAAGCATGGGACATCACATCCGAGTCGTATTATATGATCAGAGGAAAAATCTCTGTAATTTTGGATTTAGATTTAGTGCGACCATACAAGATAACCTGCCTAGGTACATACATATCTAGATACATATAACCTAGATATATACACCTAGATATATACATACATAGATACATAGCCTAGATATATAAACCTAGATATATAAACCTGGATATATAAACCTAGATACATAAACCTAGATACATAAACCTAGATACATAAACCTAGATACATAAACCTAGATACATAAATCTAGATGTCTCTTCGTCCTTCTTCACTCAACCAAATATATCAGTAAATTGTAACGTCGTACGCGGTTGAACTACCATACTGTACCACTTCGCACATATCAAATAGGAATGCTGCCACCAACCCGGTTTATGGATTCTCAATCGACAGATATACTATACAATCCAATACAGCACAATGAATATATTATCATCGTCATACACAGTCATCACAATCCCAATTCTCATCAATAGACCGACTTTCTGTCCTTGTTCAATCTACCAGTCACCGAACATGATTCTTCATCCCATATATACCCAAGTATCCATATGACATCGAGTCCATCATGTCGTGTCGCCAAAAGAGATACGATATGGCAACATGCATGAACAGCACTAAAAAGGCAAACCTACCGCGGTATATCATACGTGCAACATACCGCAACTATACCCATGATTTAACACCCTTGGGACCTATCAAACCACAAGGCTAATCTGCCGGTAAAATACAGCTGCGTTTAACAAACGAAGATAATATATTTGGCTAATTGGGATTTTCAGTAAATAACGAATCATTCACTATCCATTTTCTTCTTTTCCGGGTTTTCTTCACTGCATCTTTCTCAATCTATTGCTGTCTGTACATGCACAGGTAGGTATATTTATTGATCACAAAACGAAAAGTTTAAAGAAAAACTTTATATATCAAGTTGACCAAGAAGAAGTGTACAACATATCAATTAATTATGCTAGGCCAAGTATTGCAGTTTAACGTCCACCAGATTTACTTTTTCCTTCATCCACCCTGACCATATACCGCCTCAGGTTTCTGACTCGTCCTCCTGATGTCAATTACTTTTTCTTCTTTCACATAATCAGACCATTCCAATGAATTCTCCTCGTACAAGATCCACAAGATGACGGAGTCGAACTCCTTTCTATTCACGGAAGATGGCATCCGCAGATGATCACATAAATGATTCTAGTGCTTCCTTCCATCATTTTAAAGTTCGAGAATACATCAGATCAAAAACGTGAGTACAAGATCTCTTCGTACCAGATACGACGAGCTAAAAGGATTGGCGGGAGTAACCTTATCATTTCGTTTCCCATTTGAAGCTTCCGGTTTCAGACCTTCAAGTTGAAGAGATCGATCTTGGTCTATTTACATTTGGAATTTGAGGTGGGAAATAGTCGAAGCTAGATGAGATGATATGGCATGCGGATAAATATCCTCAATGGTCACGCGAGTAGAATTAAACCTTTCTTCTTGATCTTCGACATTACTGATGGAATATGGTGCAGTTACACTTTCACGACTCTGTACATCTGGGAATGACTATGTCGGTAAGCTATTTCCTCGCCACCAACGTTCTTCTAGCAAATGAACATACTTATCATTCCCGATCACCTACATTTTGCCTCCGTCCTCAACGCTTAGTAAGAAGGCTGAGTAAATCAAAAACACCTCGGTGACTATCATATTGCACTATGAGGTGTAGTAGTAAATGATGCAGATCACGAATCACATTATATATCACACATCCGATTACCTAGGCACAACCTCACATGTGAAATGAGGCTCTTTCCAAAGTATATCTGTTATGGGCAGGCACATGTCTAGATGAAAGCCTTGGATGTTCCCGACTTCCAGTCAAGCTGCCACAATTACCCCTCCTTGATACGAAGAACGATGAATCACGGCATATTACTTCCACTTAGCCCCTGGAATTCCGCTAAACATCGCTTGTTGGATAACTAGATATTCGAAGATCCAACTTTGCCATTCCGACCCCCTTTACTCCACATGAGGGTAATTGCCTAGATAACCAATACTTCACACTTACAAAAATTGTTCGAAATATGGATGAGTACCTCATCAAGACGCCCGATTTATGAGCAATGTAGCACCCACTGACTGCTTTTTTTTTGAACACATTTACAACTATCTCAGAGGATTCGGGTCTAAATCTTCGAAAATGAGACTCCAAATCTACACTCCTTTCAATACGTCGAGTAAGCCAACCTAGAGCTCGGGTAATCCCCATCTGCTATACCATAGTACCCCCAACAATATATCATATTCTTAAAGCCATCGAACCTAATACCATCCCCATTCCTATCTCCAACTTCCGACCCCAAAATCCAAAAAGCATTCATTCCCAACCAACACACCTCTCCCAAACTCCCTAATCCGAGTCCCAGCTAGCCGTTCCCTAAAAAAATCCCCTCTCTTCCAAGAAACCCTCATCTTATCTTACCTTCTCATCCCACAATCCCACACTATCCCCAATCTCCTAACACCGTACGTACTACCACAACCCAAACCCACACGTCTGACAAACCCATCACAATGATCTCATATCTCATTTCAACGATATCTATTCATGTAACATGCAACATTACATAGTACGGAACATACACAATTTGTCACAAAACGTGGAAATGAGACGATTATTTTTTAGTAGTGCGGGGTCATGGGTTCATGTGTGGGTTTGTGGTCGGTACTGCTTGGTACTCGATTTTGATGGGGATGAAGGAGGGATACGAGGGAGAGAATATAAGGGGACATTATGTAGTATTATATAACATCTCCTCGCATCTTGAGACATCTGTTCAGACTAGGTGGAGTAGCATTCTTTTCTGTAGAAAACCAGATCGTTTCGGTTCAGTTCCATTTCCAATTCCACGCTTGTGCCAGAATATCCTTCCCACACATCCTTCCAGAATCTCCCTCTCCCACAAGTCACAGCCTAGCTCAACCCTCCCGTTTTCATTCTCAGATCCCCAGTATTCCTCCTCCTCTTCCTCTTTCCCTTCCCCTCCCCCTCAACCTCTCCCCCAGATCCCCAACTTCTATTTTCTCCGTATCATCCTATCTCCTCCCTCCCATCCCAGCCCATCTAGTTACCACACTGCACCGCACCGCACCGCATTTCCCAAACCAAACCAAACCAAAGAATCACAATCCTCACCACCAATACTCAAATCCCTACCCTTTCCCTTTCCCTTTCCCTTTCCCCTTCATCAGTCCACTAGTACTACTCCCTCATTCTCCTCTCTCCAGTACCCACCTTGTAAAGTATATAATAACCCAAATCCAAATGACCAGAAAAACATACTCAGATATCGAATTCCCTATTTCCATACCAACTCCTTCTCATTAATTTCTTCCTCTATATCAATCTATCTCTACACCACCCTTGAAATCTTCCCAACGAAATACCAGACCAAATATCAGCATCCAGCTATTCACAGAGACAAAAGGCTTGTAAACGCATTACGTTTCATCAAGTAATCTTATTATGACTAGGTACCTATATCCGAAATTTAGGTTCTTCACTTCATATTTCATACTTTCATACTCACTGATATTGATATCTATGTATCCCAAGAATATCTCAAATCTGGAATCGATACAAATGTATAATGATACAGTACAACATAATCTCAGCTGTTTCCCTGGAGCTGCGATGTACAGTATACAAAGGGCAGGATATTATGTTTCCATGACATAGATCCCCAGTATCTGCCATCCTATCAATGTACCATATCCTCATTTCCTTCTCGGATTGTTTGCATGGTGATAATAGTTCTTCGTCCTGTTTCTAGGCCATTGAATATCTTATCGTTATGTATCATTATTGTCTATACCCCATAGCCGTTTAAATATACATCTGTTCGTTCCGTAGACACCAATGCCATACTATCTGTGAACCCCTCCTTTACCGTCCAATCGGCATCAATGCTCCCGCCACACTTCCAACCCCTCGTTCCGTCGCCAGCAGATTAAATTGCGCAGCTGCGTTCCTCGTATCTGCGATTTCTATTTGAATTCCTAGGCCATTGATGTATGCGCGGGTTTTGGGCGATATAGGTCGCATATCTTTGCCTAAGCCGAGAACTAAAAGATCTATGGGGAAAGTGATGTGTTAGTTCAAAGGGTTTGGTTGCTTATGGTAGACAGTTGAGGAGAAGGAGAGGATAGAGGATGGAAAGTGTAGATAACAGGAAAGAAAGAAAAACATACCAGGTCTAGGCCACACACACCCCAGCACACCCCACGCCTCATCCCCGCACTCAAACTGACCCTTCTTATTAACCAATTCCAACTCCTCCCCCTCCTTCGCACCCCCAACCCATGGCTTCCACCCAAACGCCTCACCCCCCACCAACAAAACTCCGGCTCCTCCCCTCCATTTCCCACCCTTAAAAACCCCATCACCACCTACCTTCACACCACTATTCAAATGAAATCCATCGCTCAAACACGCATCAATACTCGTACTCGGCATCGGCGTGTTCCCTAATACATCTAGCACCGAGAAATCCGTCTGTGTAGTTTCCGAAGAAGGCGGACCACGGTCGTGGGTTGCGGGAGGGTGCGAATGGGAACGGGAAGAGGAAGAGGATGTCCTTACGGAGGTGGATTTTATGGGAGGGGAAGGTTTGCTGGGGGCGGATTGGGAATAATGACGAGACTGGCAGATGGAGTAGGATGCGTGATATGAGACTTTGAATGAATTTGAAGCTTTAACTCTTGGAGTTACACTCTGACAGAGACCCCGTCTCGTACTTGTGCAGCTTGGAATATTCGACCGTGGGGCGATAATTGCGTTTGTAATTTCGGGAATGGAGGGGCTGATTTTGCGGAGGCGAGACATGATGTTCTTGTTTCCGCGAAAGGGTTTATTTGTATATTTGACAGGTTTTCGTACTATGCGAATTTTCACTCAGTTGTTAAATTATTGGTAGTCGTGATGTGTAAGTTGTTTGGGTGCGAATGTAATGAGGTTGCATAGAGTATTGTGAAGAGTTCAGATGGAACTTTGAGCTCTGAAAAGATTGGCGAATCAAAGAGCTCGGAAGTCATGAACGTCATCATTAAGCTCTGTTTTTACCGATATTCACCCGCTCCACGCATTTATTGAACATCTTCTGGATACAACCTCATAATAAGTTCTTTAATACTTGTGTTAAGTCGAGTGTTTTCTTTTTACTTGAAACAAATGAAAATCATAAGATTATTGATATACATGTAAAACGTGCTCCTCAGAAGCTCCCTTTCAAAGCTGCTACAATGAAAGATATTCACGAGTTGATGACATTTCTAGCATTCGAAAGACGACTTAACATGCGGAATCTAAACCCAATCTTCTCAATCTATCATGAGATCCTCATCTACCAAGTATTGTAACCTCTAATCATTTTATCTTCCTTCTTCCCATCTTGAGTCTAGAATAAATCCGTCATGGCTCCATGACTCGCATCTCCCACAAGTCTAGCATATTTTGCTAATACACCTCTATTAACCGCACTCTTGGGAGGTTTCCAAGACTTGAGTCTTTCTGCAATTTCTTCATCCGATACATCCATACTTAAAGTATTAGATTCGGCAGATATGGTTACTATATCGCCATTTCTTACAACGGCGATGGGTCCACCGACTGCTGCTTCGGGGACGACGCTGAGTTGTGTTAGTGAGACTGTCCACCAGAGGAGGGTCGGTGTCCAATGTAGATGCTATGTTGAGGGGACATTATATGAGAAATAGTAATACGTACTGCCCTACGATAAATCCGTGACTAGCACCGGAATATCGTCCATCGGTAACAAGAGCGACATTCGTGAGACCAGCGCCCATGATTGCTGCACTGGCTTTCAATTGCTCAGGCATTCCACTATTTAGAAGTTAGTTTTAGAAAAAGGAAAGATACAACAACACCTAGGGACACTCCAAATGCTGCGAAAGAAACTTACGGTCCTCCTTTAGGCCCTTCATATCTCACAATCAAGACGAGATTCTCTCCATGAGGAATCTCACCCTTATTTAATGCATGATCAAGTTCATGTTCTTTATCAAAAACCATCGCCTTTCCAGTAAATACTAGACCTTCTTTGCCTGTGATCTTTGCCACTGCTCCACCAGGTGAAAGATTTCCTCGAAGAATCTGTAAATGACCAGTCTGTTTGATTGGATTACTCAAAGGTCTAATGAGAGTCTGTTCTTGCGGTAGTGATGGCCAGCTTTCAACGTTTTCCCTCAAAGTTTTTCCTGTAACAGTCGGGATATCACCGTTCATCAAGCCCGCAGCAACGAGAAGCTTAATGACAGCTGGTGTTCCACCGATATCGTAGAGATCCTCCATACAGAATCTTCCGGAGGGTTGCAGATCTGCCAAAAATGGGATCTTGTCGCTTACTCTTTGAATATCATCGATAGAAAGTGGTACTTCGGCTGTACCAGCCATGGCGAGGAAATGAAGCGTAGCATTAGTACTTCCGCCAAGTGCCATTGTAATTACCAAAGCATTCTCAAAAGATTCCTTGGTTAGTAAGTCTCGTGGTCGAATGTTCTTTTCCATGCAAATCTTGATTGCTTCTGCAGCTTTGGAACATTCTCTCATCTTAGCTGGTGAATCGGCTGGATTTGATGAAGATCCTGGGAGACAAAGTCCCATAGATTCGATGGCGGTAGACATCGTGTTGGCTGTATACATTCCACCACAAGCACCAGCACCGGGGCAAGCGTTTTGTTCATAATCTTCCTACGCAATCATTAATGAAAGACCGAACCCTACACATCGATCATGATCTTACCATAACATCACTTGGAGTTGCACCCTCAACAGCCGCGTGAAGTTTATTGTAGGTAAATGCACCACTAAATACAACTGCTGTGTTAAATCTGAACAGAAAACATATGTATCAATGGATATTTCCTTACCTTGCTTCATAACAACTGCTAATATTGATTTCCTTTTTCATCAACTTGGAATAACCCTTCTTAATTGAGCCTAGAAAGAGTCAGGCTTCTGAAATATATAGTGACAAACAAACTCACCTCCATAGATCATAAGAAATGGTCTATTGTGACGTGCAGCAGCCATAATGACCTGTCTCAATGTTAAAACAGTCTCTTATAAATTAGGAATTGAATTCTGGTAGTGTATTTCCACTAAAACATCAAAGACCACACTTACTCCAGGCATATTTTTATCACAACCAGGTATTGAGATGTTTGCATCATGGTGTTGGGCACAAGTGACAGTCTCGATTGAATCCGCAATGATCTCACGTGTCTGTAAGGAAAATCTCATACCTGCTAGTGTTAATGAAAATCCCTCAAGATAAGAACGTTCTACAAACCTTCTCCGCCCATAGTGATAGCATCACTGACTCCCACAGTGTTAAATTGCCATCCGAGCATACCCTGCTTTTGTACTGAATCTTTGACTAGCTTTCCGAGATCATGTACTACAAGCATTTGTTAAATCGTATGTCTTGAAAGATCTCCTTATCTTGTGTTACTTACGATGCATACTATAATACTATGTCAGCTAAATCCATTATCGTCTTCGTGGTAGACTGTGTATCCCATGATGGAGAACATACTTGCATGGATTTCCTTCCCACCAAACAGTAGATATTCCAACATGAGGTGCAGTCTTCATCATCTCTCGACTTGGCACTCCTGCCGCGTAAAGCATTGCCTAGACACAGACTCAGTACGTATAGTCATTGATCATGCTTTGTGTATTCTCACCTGAGCTCCTGGAAAGTCATGACCATTGGTAATTGTATGAGACCATCGATTCAAGGCCAATTTTCCATCTATAACAGTACCATGTTCTAGAGATGGAAAGTCAATATATCTTGGCTTGTCTGGTATCTGTTCATAATTTGACGGTTCCATGATGAACTAATAGGGAACCTGTGATATCTTTTTGGGTAAGTATTGATGGATGAAAATAAAATAAGTATCGATAAAATTGTCTATCAACAAGTGGGCATCTAGAAAGGAGAAAAAGAACAATCGATGAACGAAGAAAGACTTTAGGGAATGAAGTATTTTAAGTAGGAAGAATACAGCCAGGAAGTATTGCGGAGTATCCTTTTTGAATTGTGGGGCAGAGAGAAAGGTCTGATAGTCTGGTTCATCAGGTTTGACTACTTTCTAATTGCCGCAGTGACAACAGGACGTTATGCAATAATAGTTCATACTTTGGCATTCCTGCCGTAGCGCGGGGGACAAATTCATGGTTGAGCCAGTGCACATAATCGATTGATAATCGAATCAATGATGGCTCATCATACCAACTTTCCAAACCTGTACCCCGCGGTGGGTTCGCCATACTAAAATTATTATGGATAGATCGTATCCGGGATTGGGCCTTTCAAGAATAAGGTACGACCGGATAACTAGGTATTGGAAGTGGGAAGTGGGATGAGGTGACTGTGTCGGTAGTTCATTGAATCTTTGAGAAGAGAGATTCTTTGGCCTGTACAATCACGCAACAGTAGATCAACATGAATGACAAAGTGGTAATGCTGTAAGAAGGAAAGGGGTCGTGTGAGCTTGTACTTGATGGAACGAGAGAACCACCCATGATTTGTGAGGGGTTCAACAATTATTTCTTGTACCCCCACCAAACATGCATCTAAATTAAACCGAAATACCGAATTTAGTTTTCCGATGTTTTGGCGAACGGATGCTTACCGTTAATTGTTCATTTGAAGTCATTCTGATTGGTGAGATCGTTTGGTAGTGTTGTCGTCGAATTTGTGAATGGCAGGTTGAGCGAACAGTACATGAGTTGAAAGTCCAACGTGCTAATCAATATGGTTCATAGTTATTCTGCCAAAATGAATAGTATAATCAGACGTTGACTAATAGGGGACGCGAGAAATATGATGCTCTTAGCATCTCAGGTACCTTAGCCGATGTACGAATCGACAAAACAGAGAGCAGCAAGCTCACAATGGCTTTGACTATAGATTCAGCCTCACAAGCAGCCATGGTTATCTTCATTTTCATCTCGATGCTAAGCTTATCTGACGCAATACACGAGGCCGAAGCGGGATGACTTGCATCAACATAAGATATAAAGATGGCTTCAACGGCATCTAAATGGGGATCGTAATGTCTACAATGTGTCAAGGTCATCTCCAAGTTCTAGGCCGAATACCGCAATAAGGATTTCTAGCTAGGGCTTCATATCTAGACCAAGAATTGAGAAACCATGCCCTTGAAGTGAAAAGCCTTGCGGAATTCTAGCGTAATAAGTTTGAGAGAACCGGAACAATGAAGGCGGGTGGTGCAAGAGACGAAAAAGACACGGCTCGATGTGAGGCTCAACACGACGCCAACATTTCCATACTGTTGTGAATCCAATATCTATTGGAGTATTGAGGTATCTATACGTCCAATTCACATCTGCGTACAAAGTAATCACATATGCATGAACATGAAGCGGTAATTATAAGATGGTTGGTGTAGATTCATCAACGGCTAGCCTTTGTTGCTTCTTGCCTGATAAAGCCGAAAGCCGACATTCTTTAGCGTATCAAGGTCTGTGCACTACTGGGTACCTCTAGCCAGTCTCGAACCAATCATCCGAAGTTCTCATCGTATCAAGTAGTTCGCATCGGAACATCCAATATTGATATTGACTTGCTGTCAATGTATATATGTGCATACACACCTCGGATCTTGTGTCATTCTATTACAAGGCAATTCTATCGAGTGGGTGTCATTTCCGCGCCCAAGCTTCGCGGCTGAAAAGAAGTGCTCCTGGTAAAGAGTAAGCAAGCAATGGATTATTCAATGAGAGTCTCGTGCGACCTTATCGGCTGCCAACTTATGCACGTCTTTTCTTCCGAACAAATGGTTCGATGAGAGCCTTCCTTTTTGCGGAGGCGACAGCAAAAGGCATTTGGGGGCAGTGTCTGCTTATGTGATAAGCTGATGAAGAACGAGAGTGCAAGGCTGGAAAGTGATAGTGTTTCAAATATCTCATCAGCATTGTACATTGATTTAAGAGATCGTTCGTTTCGTTTGACTATCGTTGGTTTGGCTTATTTTCTTGCCTTTTTACTTTGACAGACAACCATCAATCCTCAAAGGTATCATGTCTTCTACAGCATCTTCAAGCGATTCCGATAATAGTAGAAGACAACGCCAACCAGGTCCAAGACCCCCACCACTACCTCCTCCTCCTCCACCATTTCAAGGGAACAATAAGAAATCAAAGAAGAAAAACAAATACGTAGCACCTCAAGATACGATCGATAAACTTTGGTCTCGATTCTCTGTATCCAAATTCAGTAAAGCTACAAAAGTTTTACCAAATGCAGCGCCTTTTGCGAGTGGAACATCAGCAAAGACCGTTATTGTTCCTCCACCTGGCCCGCAGAATCAGCTTGTTTCCGAAGACTTTGAAAGAGCGGTTCAAGAATGCAGAGCCAAAGTTAAGAAACTTGTTAAGGAATGTAGGCGAGTGAATATGCGGTTTCGTGATGCAAGCTTTGATATAGACTGGGACTTGAAATGGGAGAAAGGGAATTGTTTGAATACACTTGAAGAAATAAGATTTGAAGTTTGCAAACGCGCTCTTATCAATCCTTCATCTTCCGGGCCGAAGGCTGTCAAGAGAGTTCACGAAATATTTGATAAGCCAACATTCTTAGGAGATAAGATTTCTCCTTCGGATGTCAGACAAGGAAGTCTCGGGGATTGTTGGTTGATGTCTAGTTTGACAGCTTTGGCAAATACGAAAGACGGAATTCAAAGAATATGTGTTGAATGGGACACAAGTCAGTATCGAGCATTCGCATTTTAAAATTAGGTCTAACCATGTCGTCTTAGAAATCGGGATATATGGCTTTGTGTTTCATCGTGGTAAGTTTCTCCCTCGAACAATAGGTAGTAATCGCTAAAGCAAATTAGATGGTGAATGGATCATATCTATTATCGATGACAAGCTCTATCTGAAGTCGCCAGATTGGGATTCACCCTCAGTCCATAGACATTTACTCGAGCAAACCGACCGAGAGGACGTTGAAAAAGAATATCGAAAAACATATCAAACAGGGTCTCAGTCATTATTCTTTGCGCATTGTAAAGATCCAAATCAAACATGGCTTCCTCTTCTCGAAAAGGCTTATGCTAAAGCACACGGGGATTTCCTTTCATTGAGTGGAGGATGGATAGGGTAATTCTAGCTCTATCATCTCATTTATCAGCTAACTTTTCATAGGGAGGGTCTTGAAGATTTGACAGGAGGCGTAACCACGGAACTTCTTACTTCGGATATTCTTGATACTGATGAATTTTGGCATAACGAAATTCTCAATGTCAACAAAGAATTTCTTTTTGGTTGTTCTACAGGGCTTCTCGATTATGGTTATGGCAATAGAGACGGAATATCTGAAGGTCATGCATACGTTATCATGGAGGCTAGAGAGTTATCTACTGGCGAGCGTCTCCTCAAATTAAGGTTTGCTTTTCACATAGTGTTGACGATTATCACTAACAACTTGATGTAAAGGAATCCATGGGGGAAAATCAAAAAAGGTAATTGGGAAGGTCCGTGGTCAGATGGGAGTAAGGAATTCACCCCTGAAGCTCAGATAGAGCTCAACCATAAATTTGGAAATGATAGTGTCTTCTGGATTTCATATCAGGATTTACTACGCAAATATCAACATTTTGATCGAACTCGGTTGTTTGTGGATAGTCCCGATTGGCGATTGAGTCAAGAGTGGATCAGCGTAGAGGTACCTTGGAGATCCGAGTTTGAACAGAAGTTCACTATAACGCTCAAGAAGGAATCACCAATAGTTTTGGTTATGAGTCAACTCGATGGCAGGTATTTTATTGGTTTACATGGTCAATATCACTTCAGATTGCAGTTTCGAGTTCATGAGATAAATTCACCAGGCGAAGAAGATTACATCATCCGAAGCCATGGGAATTATCTTATGAGCAGAAGTGTGGTCGCTGAGTTGAAAAGTCTCTCTGCCGGAACATACACAGTATACATGATGGTCATAGCAGAAAGGGATAAAGGTCTACAGAGTGTTGAAGATGTCTTGAAAGATGAATTAAGTCGAAGGGAAGATAATGAGAAATTGGTTCAAGTTGGGATTTCTTACGATTTGGCTCACCAGAAAGGATTATCTCATATGGATGCAAGAATCAAATTCAGAAAGGCTCAAGATAAAGCAAAGGCCCGGGAGTCGAGGATTGCTAAACGCAAAGTTCTTTGGGAGAAAAGACACAGTGCGCGGGAGATAGTAAGGAAGCAAAAGAAGAAGAATCAGGAGAAGCGTGAAAGTAAATCAGCAAAAGATGCCGAGTGGGCAAAGGAACAAGAAGAACGTGAGCCAAAGGACCAAGGTGTTCAAACGGAGGATATTCCAGAAGTTCAAATCGAGAAACAAGACAAATCAATACAAACTGAAGATCCTAATGAGGAGTCGATAAGCACTACAATTGATACGCAACCTATGAATGAAAGGGACAAGGCAGTCCAGACAGAAGACTTTACACCATCTTCTAATGAGTCTCAGACAACTCCTGTAACTCCAAAAAGTAATGGTTCATCTCCACGTTCACCGTATACGATGATTCCGGGATCTGGTACCAATCGCCGCGAATCACTACCTCCACCTTCAAGCTTTGTTAATCTTCGTAGACATTCGAGTCGTCCACCGAGCTATGGTCGAGGTCCTCCTCCCCCAAGACCAGGTCCATATGTTACTTCGGAGGGGGAATCAAGTGCAAGTCCTCTTTCAGATTATGATATGTATAGTGACGATGATCCGACCCTTAAGCCACGAAATCAGCCAAACAAGCCAAAACCACCAAAGGAAAGAGAGGTTGATGAAGATGAACCAGAGCCATGGAATGCGGTGTGTATTATTGGCTTCAGGGTGTATAGTAAGGATGAAGGCTTATTGCTTAATGTTTGCGAGGAGGGTGTGGGGGAAGAAGGGAGTCAAGAGACTGAGTTGAAAGGGGAGAATGAAGCTGGGATCGATGGTGATGTGGAAGATGCCGAAGATGAAAAGAACACTGAGAAGAAGGGGAGAAATGAGAGAGATAGTAAATTGAAAGATACTGCAACAGGAGACGACTCAACACCTTCCGATATCGCAACCAAAATCGAACCTGATAAAGACTTGAATATCGCTAGCTCCGATTCCCACAGCGTGGTTACTGAAACCTCTTCGTCAGTCGACGGTGACCATAAAGAAATTCTTGCCGAGAAGCAACCCCAAGTAGTCACTAAGAACTTAGAAATTAAGACAGACGACGACGCTCAGCAGAAGTCAGGTCTGGTGACCTCGGAGGCTACGCTAGATGACGTTGTGAAGGAATCAGTTCCTCAATTCGGCATTGCAACATCAAGCGCTTCTTTGACTTGCAATTAACGCCCACACTCATTTATGTTCAGTGATACTCAGCGTGCAATTTATTCTTCAACTCAGTCCACCATGAAAACAACATCTCGTTATTTGGAAGTCCTCATCTTGAGCATTCGAGCGATTCAGGCAGTCTAGGTGGTCTTCTCTCAGTTTTATCTTCAGCGAAATCTTCGAACCACCACCTAATTCTAGTAATTGCGTTCTTATGACTAATGACATTTTTCATAATATCTATGGGTTAATACAAGTGTGTTGGTGTCAATTCTGTCAATGAATATATTCAGAGGCTATCCAATCAGCACCATTCTCATTAGCTCCTTCTCAAGGCCAAATATGGTCATCCGACCGGGTAAATGCAATTGGGCAGGTTACGAGGTAATTTTGAAGTTCAATTTAGCTTACACAACGTGGATAATTTTCTATCACGTTGTGGGTCTAGTCCTCAATTGGGTACTACTGTGCCTCTTCACGTCCCTGTTACCCCAACATAAAGGCGCCAAAATATGCAGGTCGTTGATCAACAGACGAATCATAGTGATATAAACTCACGTAGTTTTATTGTCTTGGCGTAATATTACGACACTTATAATCTTCACCGGTTTCCTTGTTTCTTTCTGGTGAGGAGGCTCTTTTTTTGCTTGGTCGTGCTTTATTTAACACTTCTAGTCTTCACTTTTTCTACTGAAATTAATCCATTATCTTCGAACCCTATAATCACTTCTCTTATCCCCAAAATCTAGCCACTCAATCAATATGGTTCAATGCAGAAATCTCATCTTTCTCCTTACTATAGGCATGTCGGCCGCCTTCGAGAATGCATTACCCCTTGCCCTTCGGCAAATTCATCCAACGCCTCATCCTAATCAAAACTACCTATATCAAATGTGTTATCCCAATCTAGCGAATATCACCCTTCTCGTCGGTTCCAACGCCGCCGAAAAACGCTTCCAAATCATGGCCAGTTCTCCTTTCCCCTGCGAGCGCAGTAACTATATCATCTACGCCTGTCTCGCCAATGGTACATCACCTATTGATTTTCTCGCCGAGCAAGAATGTATCTGTCCCTCCTCATTTTGGGAACTTGAAGCAGCGTGTACGGATTGTCATCTCGAGCATGGATATCAAAATATCACCAGAGAGGAAAGTGATGCGAGTATTTCAAGTTTGAGTCAGGCGGAATGTACGGCTACACCGGTGCAGCCGTTTACGAACTTTTTCTCGATCATCGATGCGTCGCAAGCGTTGACAACGCCGGATCTGGTGCTTGGATCGGATAGGTTTCCAAACCAGACGGCGGTTAGCAGTTAGTGGGATGTTTCTTTATTTTCGGGGCGTTTTCCACACCTTTGGGATCTTCATCCACTGGTCTGAGAAGTCTTCTTTCTTCGGAGCCACGTACTGACTTCTCACTCTCATAGATTACTATACTGGCAATACTCTTTGGACGATAGGAAGTATCACCGGAAGTGCAACGGCTAGATTAACTAGCTATACGGCAACGGAATTTAGTAGATTTACTCCTACGAGCACCGGAGCTCCTTATTCGACGGGTACTAGTGGTAGTGCAAGTGAAAGCGCAAGTGGAAGTGCTAGTGGAAGTGCACAGACTACTACTAGCACTAGTGGAGCGGTAGGATTGAAGAGTAAGATGAGAAGTCCGGGTGGGGTTTTGGGAGTAGGCGCGCTGCTAATGCAGTGTATGGCGGTGATTCTTACTGCTTGTTTTGCTTCGTGCTAGATGGTGTATGTAGAATGTTTAGCAGGCGATTGGGAGATTGGAAAAATAGTTCTAGTCAGGGTTCTAGGGCGGGTAAATGATATCGAAGGTACAAGTGCACGAGAGTATGAATGAGCGGGAGTGGGGTTACGGTAGATGCATTTCATGATCGGCAGTAATAGCGTTTGTAGAAGGTAGTTGTGATTGTCCCATATTGCCATATTGCCTGGTTCGTTGGTAGCTACCGTACACCATATATACAGATATGCATCAGTACCTTATTCACTTTCACGACATTATCTCATGTGATATGGAAAAATCATTCGTTTTTCTGAATCACAAAAAAAGTCTGGCAACACGGTTCAAATATCCAAAAGAGCTATACACATATATATGTAATCGTCGCGGTAGGGTAGAATGTCAAGATGTCAAGACTTATATATCATTAAAAGTACACATTTTTTACTTACACCCCGACATCATTTTCTTCCTTTCTAGAAGTAATCTTTCGTGTTACACTAGATACGTATAATCAACATTCATTCCTTCAGATCTCGAAGATTTGAAATAATGATGTACTGGCAGTGAGGAGTAGAAATAGGAGAAACACCATTCTTTCCGCGTTAGTCTCTGTGCTAAATTCAAACTGTCTCGCTTGTTGAATTATGCGCTTTGGTTTGGAGGTTTGGTGAGATTGTATTTTTTGAGTAGTTTCTTTTTTTGAGGATGTGATATAAATTGAAAGTTGAAGGTTGAGTACTGGTCTGGTAATGGGTTATGCTGGGATGGGGATTGGAATTGGGGGGTGGTAGTTGGGGGGATGAAGAAAACGAACCGGGTTTTGAGGGAAGGGTGAAGTAGCTACTAGATTATGATGGTTAGTAGACTATAGAGGGGTAGAAGAATGAGAACAATTCATCTCATGTCTTATTTGTGTGTATCTTCATGCTTAAACACTTTGCCCGAGCGCGCCGAGATTTCTCTCTACACCAATTCTCACTCTCGTCTTTCTCCTTTCACCTTTCACTTTCGAGCACCTTCAACCCCTCCTCTCCCATCTCCTCAAATCTCCAATACCATCTTCCCCCTCCCTCATATATCTCTTTACACAAATAACTCCATCTCATTCGTCAAACATGGCAAACGTCCAAGTCCTTGAAGCTATTAATCCCGCACACAAAGTAAGTCCCCTCCACCCTTTCTTTTCTTCTTTCGCATTTCTATCTATGATGATTACTACATTTATATATTTGATCGTTTACGATAATGATATCACGCGATATTCACAATTTCATACTCATTCCATCTGAGATGTTTGTTGATGTGCAGATTTGTGTTGGCTTGGGTTGGGTTTGGGAATGCGGACTAATGTTGTAAATCTCTAGGGGGTTTTTTTCCTTTTTTCCTTATGTTAGTGTTCGTCGTGGTGATTTTGCTGATCGTGGTTTATGATAGAGTATGGGAATTGGGGGGGATAGATGAGTGATGAATTTTGGGGGGGAAGGTAGAGAATATCACATGTTCTCTTTTTTGACTAGTTTTATTGGGTGTATAATTGATACTTCTACTCAGATACACAAATCTAAATATATTCAAACAGATGCGTTTAGTCTAGATATTTATTAAGTGTCATTCCGGTCTTCTTATTTTTTCTAATAACAAATTATCTTCAACTTTGCTCACAACGATTACTCGATATCATTGATCTATACCACAACGTCCCTGTACCAAATAAGAATCGCCACAATAAAAACATAATCCTCTCATCTCATCTCATCCCAATTATAATCTAAACACTCATAACATTCACCATTCTACATACCCTCCCAAAAATATCCCAGTAGTCAAAATCTCCGCCCAGCTCGGTAAATATCGATTCCCCTTAACGCCCCACTTTTCGCATTGAGCTTTTCATGTATTTTCTAACTCCATTCACTACGTTCTTTATGAACTCCTCGCTAGGAAACAATATCTTGGTATCGAGATTCTAAAACTAATAAATTCTTTACATGTGTCATTATCCAAATTTTATTTCCTAGATATTACACGCTAATAAGATACTAGTAGGTCGAGTATTCCCTGGGATAACTGTTAGGAACTGAGATTCGTGCGAGAGCATGAAGATAAGTATTATTACTTGATGCAATGATTGATTATATTAAGGAGGTAGGAAGGTAGCGGGGCGGGTATCAAATATTAGATCGGTGAGCTGATACAAGATTATTTGGTGTGAAGTGAGTGTTATAGATGAGAAATTTACGGAGAGAGATGATTGGTAGATACTCTACACCAATCATCTCGGCGAGAATTTGATTTTCTGACTCGAATGGTTATAGTCAGAGTTATGTGTACTTGGAACAAAGTGAGAGGTGATGTTTTCTGATCGATCTTGGGGTTTGAAGTGTAAGTGTCGGCATGGAGGAGGGTAGGAATATGAAAATCAAAGTTGTGATTTACGACAATGACATCTGGATATGCGTTAGATACCGAATGTTAGGACGTGGTAGTAAGGGACTTTTGTCTCTGATTGTGTTTAATAAAGGATCGCAGAGAGTGAAGTGTTGAAATAGAGTAACAAGAGTGTCAAGTTGGTCCCAAATCATATTAAGATAAATATCGAATACTGGTGATGGAATAACAATATGATGAAGATTACATGGTATTATTCAAGCGAATAAAAGGACTTGTCTGCATATCCGGAAATGTCAATAGAAGATGATCCTTCCTCGTGAATACGGATTCAATGTATGTAGTAAATCAATTGCACGAAGACTGAGTGCTCGATGGAGAGAAGAGAAATAAGTTAGATGAGTTTGAAAAGGGAAATCAGATTTAGTGAGTTGAATTGCCTTATTTATTTAACCAGTTGATCATTTCCAGAACTTAAAAGATAGCACGAAGCTCGATATTTGAAGCTCGATGTTCAAAGCTCGAGGTTACCAGGAACAGAAAAGATGAGGGTAAAAGAGCCGCAACATACGGAAAAGTGCAGACACAAAAAGAATGTCACGACACCGCACCCTCTCAGTATAATATCCAAAAAACGTCCTCATGAATCTACAACTCTCATCTTCAATTTGATTAACCTTTTGTATCATCATTCGCATAATGTATTTCTCCTTCTCAATCCTCAATACGCAAATCATAATCATCACCAGTAAGCCAATGACCCTAGTCTTGATACTAGCTCCAAAATGAAGTCTCCAAGGTGGGCCGCCCATCATGCAAATTGAGGAAGGAGGTGAACATCATCACCACCAAATTTTCGCCGAGCTCGAGGAGAGCTCTTTCCCAAAACCATCTCACTCCCAACAAATCCGGGTTCAATCCAGCAAAAGTAAATCAATATCACAAGAAATAGTTCCATCAATTCCCGTCAAATATGACAAACATAAAGTAAGTTTCTCTTGCCTACTCTTATGTTCGGCCCTTGGTCATGATTAAAAATAAGCACCATGAATTACCATTTATTCTGAGCAACTTTTCGAAGGTTCCCGGTCGGGAATCATCGAAGGGGACTTGATGACAATGGGCGGCTGCCGATATGAACCATCATTTCAATCTCATACGTTCTGATCCAATTCAACTTATCAATGGGGACTAACAATTACATTCTAGGGCCTTCATGGCAGGCCTTCGTGGCGCACCTCTTTTTTTGTCTTTTTCTTTTTTCTCTCTCGAACTCCCCTCGTAATTGACCTCAACAATGTTCGGGACTGAAATTCCACACGGGACTGAGATATCACACTTGATGTACAGGTCATCACTCTGCACGTGAATCTTTTCTTGGCCACAACCCTCAATTTGTTCGTTTTGAACGTGATTGAGTGAACATCTCAGATACAAGTACCTATTAAAAGTTCAAAAATTCAAAAATTATCATCTTTTTGCGGCCTATTTTGACAATGGATTGAGAAGAACAAGATTAGAAGGCCGGTATTTTTGATAGATTTTTAGAGGGCAAGCAGGATAAGATATTTGAGTTTGCATATGAGGGTGTGTTTTTGATGATTGTGGAAGGTGCGAAGATCGGATTGGGGTAGCTGTAGTTTGGGTGGTGAGAAGAATTGGGTAATGGGTGAATGTTGGGTGAACGAATAGTAAAGATATGAATGGGAACACGAAATCGGGGATTGAGATGATTGATTTGGACCAAGAACGATAACGGGAATAATAGTAAGTCTCAATGTGAGATAGAAATGCTACACAATTTGTGTTTCGTAGGAAATAGTAATATATTGTGTGATGATGTATCTACATCGTCAGGAAGTTCTTCTCTCTCTGGGAATTGGATTACACTTCCCTTGACAGATGATTATACGATATCATCTTTCACAGTCCTCCCTATCTCTTACCTCAAACCATAAATCAGACAGATCGTTCCACTTAGCCTTGTATAAAAGCGTTCTGAGTTTATATCTACTTTTACGATACTCTGAGAAAGCTAATTCTCTTTCACACGTATGCTGGACCGATATGTCACCGTGTTTATATATATATCCTCATGCTTTTCATTCTTTACATCTTGACTCGTTGGATTACTTGCTCGATTGCTCTCTCTGTATATATCAACCGTTGTGACAGTCTTCTCAAATATCAGAACAGAGATAGAATGACACTTTTTGAAATTTGAATTGATTCGAAACACTAACTACCAAACCTCTTCCCTTACTTTCCTCCCCCCTTTGCTCTTCGACCTTCGCCCTTCGACCTTCGACCAACATCTGTATCGACATCAATATCAATACCAATTCTTAAATCATAACACACACACACACACACGCACATATATAAAACTAATATTCTACACTTACATGATTAATAAAACTATACACTATACAATACCAGACAACTCCAATAAGATTTTCAACTTCCCAACCACACAAAGCGATCATCGCTCCACCAAGAATTCCTCACCAGCGAAATACTCATCAATCACCAACTACATCCTCTATCATTCTCAAACTTCCACCCTCGAATCCTTATCCTCGACCTCGTCCACATCGTCGCAAACCATCGTA